TAGCCAAGTCTCTGACCAATACATAGGAACGAAGCCACTTCACGCTTGTGTCAAACTATCTGAATCTTGTTCTTTATGCTAGGTGCAGAAAATTCTCTTTCCAATTCTGTATGGCTTTAACACTTCATCCGTTCCGCCTGCCTGTGGTTGAAACGATGCTTCCTAGATAAGTGAAGGAAGTAATCTCTTCCAAGTTTCTTCCGTTGATGGTGGTTGCCACTGGTTGTTGTTGTTGTTGTTGGTCGGTTGGTTGGTTGGTTGGTTATCTTCATCAACTCCGCCTTCTCTATGTTCACCTGGAGTCCTGTCTTCGCTGACTGCTTCTTCAACCAGTTTGTTGATTTTCACTCGCAAGTCTTCGAGTTTGTGTGACACTAAACATAAATCATCCACGCGCAAAATCCAGGTGTTCTAGAGTCTTCTCATCGGTCAGTGCAGCGTATTCCTGTCTTCTCACTCCCGAAGCATAGTCCAGCTCACCACAATTAAGAATATTATTTGTGATCATGGGCAGCCAGCCTTCTCTTACTCATGTATTCACTTCAAAGGCCTCTCTAAGTTTTCCACTGTGGATCGACTGACACGTGCTACTGTCATATAGCTGTTGAATGAGGTTGATAGAGATTTGGGAACTGCACTCAATAGTGTTGAAGTAGATTTCAAATTACTTCTAGGTCAACGTTGTCGAACGCCTTTTCTAAGTCGATGAAGGAAGTTAACGTACAGGTCTGACTGCCATTCTATGCTCCGTTCGACGATGATGCGTAGAGTTGGAATTTGATCAGCACATGATTTGCTTTTCCTGAATCCGACTTGTACAGGTCGGAGTTCTGCATTCCTTATTTTCTCCAGAATGATGCGGTTTATTATTTTACTTGGCGTAGCAAAGAGCGTGATTCTTTGCCAGTGTCTGCGTAGTGTCTCCGACTTTGTCCTGATAGCCGTAGTTAAAGTGTTGATTGTAGTTTTGCTACTCAGCTTCTGAATGTTGAACTTGAATTGTGGTCTGTCTCCAGTTGTCTTCAGGGATTTCGGCTTCACCTTGAAGGTTCTTTGAACTAGATGATGGTGTGAACCCCCATCTGCTCCCCTTCTCGACTTTGTATCCGTCAGGCTGCATCTTCACCCCCTTGAGATTGAGATGAAATCTATCTGGTTTGTGGTGTGTCCATCAAGCGAAATCCATGTTGCTTTGTGTATATCCTGTGCTTGCACACGCTGCCTCCAATGACTAAATAATTGAAGGTGCAAAAGTTTGCGAAGAATTCTCCCCTATCATTCGTCTCAGCGAGAGCCTGTCGACCCATGGTGAGTTCTCTTCCTGTATTGTCTGCCCCCAGTTTGGCGTTGATACCGCCCATAAGAATTTTGATGTCTCCGTTTGGGATGTTGTCAACTATTTTTTGCAGTCGTTTATTGAAGTCTTCCTTCTTCTCTTGTTCTGGGTTGTGTGTAGGTGCATACCATTGGATAATAGTAACTCCCCTTCCTTTTCAGTTGAATCTTGCAGTCATAATCCTGGGGGAGATTGGTTCTCACTGCGTAAGAGCTTTGGCTGCTGTTGGTGACACCATAATAAGCACTCAGTGTGCTCGTGGTTGTCATCTGGTTGACTATACTGGAGTCGATTGCTGAATCTCTAGTTGAAAATCTGGATAGTCCACATGCATTCCATCTGCTCTCTCAGATTCCTAGCACTTTCGTGTCACATCTTCTGATTTCTTTAGTAGCCCGGGCAGTCTTCACGGCTTCGTACATAGTAAGAACACTTTATGTGTCCATTCTTATTTCTACTTTCATCGAAAGAAGACACATCATATGACTGGATTTCGGGAGGCTTTCACCAACCAAAGTCGTTTCACCTCTCCGATTCCAGAGAAAAATAAGTTTTTTATTTATAATTCTCGTGTCTTCTAATATTATTTTGTGCATTGAAGTTTCTGTAGCAGTTTGATTGGTTTACCGGGGTAGGATTACCATCCCCAGGCCCAAACCTCCCTCTTTCTCTGTCCTAGCGAGCTAGTAAACTAGGTGAAGTTTGTCACCAGTATATAGTATTGGCAAATGTCTAATGCTGCAAATATGTTCAAGTTCAACTTACTATCTGTTTGATGGCTACTGGTAATGGAATTAGGGTTGTAAGTTTCTTCCTATCTGGGACTAGTCATCTAGATATACCTGCATTTTATCAGTCAACTTGATAATTCTAGATTTCATAATTAACTTAGACTGCTGATGGTTAATGAAGTAGAATGAAATTACTGTCCTATAAAAATTGGGTTGGATCCACTTTGGAATGAATCAAATTCCTGCAAAATTCGATTAGTTATTAGCACTTATAATAAATTACCTAGGATTACATTATATTCAGAAAAATGGTTGACCCTGATTCGCTATTGCAATGTAAAATAAATAATTTGTAACATACGAGCGCACATACACCTGCTAATTCTTATGAAGTAGAGAGAAAAAACTTTTGACGCTGTCAGTCATTCTTATTGTTGGGGTCACTTTTCTGTTTGTTATCCATTATCAACAAGGAAGAGTTATAAATACGCTCCACATGATTGTTTCATTCAACTGACTATAAATAAATAACTGTTGAATCTTAAAATATATATACATATGGGCTTACAATAATGTACGAAATTTGGCTATCTATCAAATTAATTTAGTTTAAGAGATTTTTTTATACTGCGATTGAACACTAGATCGTAGCGAGTATCATCCGTCTAGTTCTTTTTTTCGTGCAGACCTAATTCTATTAGTCAATTTTGCAATCGTTCAATGGCAACATCTCAGATTTCAGCACTAGTTTACACAGGAGGGATATGAGTTCTTTTAAGATTTCAGATACGCCTTGCTGATTGGTGAGTTCTAACAAGCACGAAACCTAGATCAAAGGCTTCTTGTCGATTGGTTCCAACCATCTAGTAACAACAATTCAGCTTATTTCATGTTTCTTCGTATAATTTTATCTTAGAATTATCTTACTGTCCGTCCCCTAAAGTAATACATCAAAATTATACTAGTCGAACGGTTGTGCGTTACTCAATAAGAAATATCAAACTTGATGTATAGGAGAAGTGAACATAGGCACGGAAATCAAAATATGATTATGTAATACACTTGTACAGTTAATCTGTTGAAGTTCCCAAAGCACATTTCAAAATTAGTATTCTGTAAGATAATGATAATTATGTCTGCTTGTGGTAACTGAGCTGTCAAAAGTTACCTCCTTCTACCAAATAAGTATTGCTCCCAACTGTGTTAATCAATAAAATATGTCCTGAAATCCTATTACCTTCCGTGGAGCATTTCTGAAAAAAATTGAAATTTATCGTCTTTTCCACAAATTCCACTGATAATACCTTAGTAGATAGCAACGGGCAGTGAAAAGCTCAAACATAAATCAAATGATATTCCGCTGAATTAACTAGCACAAATAGTACATTTCATGGTTACTACTTTTGATTTTCTTTTAAAAAAGGATAGCTTTTTCGCAAAAATGAAAATGATCCAAATTTCACTTCGGAGTAATATCAGAGTTTGGAACAAAGCGAAAATGATAAGTAGTAATATTTAGTTTTTTCAGAACAAAGTCGTAAAATACTAATTTTTCCACTGCTAATGCTTTAACTTCAAAATACTTGTGATAAACTCAGAATTAAAGATTTTCAAAGGAAACCTGAGGTGTAATCTTCAAATGTATAGAAGTGCATGTATGATTGTATACTAAATTTAGGAATAAAAATTACACGACCAGATTTTCTCAATTGACTTTTAATTTGAAATTTGTTTAATTCTTAGATTAATCCAAACAAAAGGAAGATGTTAACATTATTATCTTTCTCTAATACCTCTCCTAAATTTGGCCTAATCATTATTGATATAGGAAAATACACTAAAGTCACGATTTCACTTGTAAAACCTCGTATTACTCTTTTCTCCGATTTCATTGCAGAAGTATCTGTCGTTTGAAATATTAATGATATTACATTAACTATGCACTCAATTAAGTGTCAGACAAAAATCCTTTTAGTTTAGCCAAAAAAGTGTATTTAAGATTATGAAGATATCATGCTTGCGACTTATTTTGTCCATTTCATGTTTTTCTTATTCTATTTTTGTTATAACAGAGGTTAAATATTCTACTTCATTCCGTCATATTTCATTAGGGCTAAATATTTCTAATAATAATTACAATTAATTTATTATCCATTAAGCCGCTATGCACACATAACTAAACTATTTAACGCATCAAAGCGTTTAAACATTTTATGTTTATGTCTGAAAGTTTTTTTTTAACTTAAGCGGATATTTTCAAGGAACCATTGGTGTGGTTATTATTTTACATTACTACACTGCGTAAATAGTGTGTAAGAGAGAGAAAGAAAGATAGCATGAGATTGAGTTACTTGTAATCTTTTTCAGGCACTATTTTTAAAACAATAACTGATTAAATATCTGGCATGTGCTGAATTCTATCTTCACAAATCAAGCTTGAGCTGGTATTCTGAAAATGACATTAGTAATGTATGTTTATATTCTCTCGTTTTCCTCCTTGAAATCTAGTGAAAATTGTAATGGTAGAAGTATCTCTATTTTATATCATTAGTTGTCTAAACACGACTTAAAAACGTCATCTTTCCTATGTACAATATCACTGACTGAATTGGTTAATGTTAATGTTTCATACTAAACAAAAGAGTTATCAATCCGTCTCAATATTTTACAAAATATATTTATTCATTTTTTCACCTTGAATTTACCGAGTGTTGATTATATAATTCTTCTCTTTATATGAAATTTCTATTCTACACAGTTTAAACGCACATCATTTTGTTTAGCTGTACTACTTGTTAACATCATGCTTGCTTGTCATTCCATTATCGTATGAATAATTATCACTGTCTAATGTGTTACTATCATGCTTTGAATCACAGATGTAATAAAGCAAATGGTTACTTGTTTTGCTTTCCTGTATATTTTATATTTAGAATAACCTAAAAATTGGTATTGTCAATGTCGGTGCACCAGCCTGTGGTGTAAATGCTGTGATGAGAGGATTTGCTCGTTTGGGTATTACTAAAGGTTATACTATACTTGGTATACATGAAGGATTTTCTGGTTTGGTCAATGGTGTGGTAACTGAAATACAATGGTGTGATGTACGTGGATGGGTCGCTCTCGGTGGTTCTGCTCTAGGAACACGCAGGTTATTTGTACTATATTTTATAATCCACTGTGTAATTAAATTAACCCTAACATAAGTAAAAGAGAATAATGATTGCTTTCCATTTCTAGATGTACTCAGAACCTGTTGACAATATCGGTCAATAAAACCATCTGTCTACAGAAAGTTTACATGGACGGGACAGTATTTAAATTATCATAGTTTCTGTCCACTACAGTTTAAAAGAGTGTTGGTCAATTGTTTGTTCAGACGCATTCACCAGCCAATACCAAAGAGGAAGAAACACAACACCTTACAGAAATATTGTTATATAACAACTATCCGTTGAAATTCATTAAGCGTTACGGAATTGTAAAACAGAGAGCTCTACCGATCCAGTCAGATCCGAAAAAAGATGTTTATATATACTAGCCATTCAGTGTCTATCAACAATGGCTGATCACTAAACAAAGACAGAAGGCGACAATTAATAGAACTTACTGTGCAGCCATACTTATTTTTATAGTGAAGACGAGATCGATGCTGTCTTGTAAACCCTCACAGAATCCGAACGATAGTGTTATATCCCACTGTGTTTACCAAGTCATATGTATGTGTGGACACGCGTACATAGGGAGGACTCATCGGTCTCTGCTGGCTAGGGTTACAGAACATATTCCAAGTTGGCTACAACAACAACAAATAAAATCACCAGATACAACTGATCTCGGAAACAGATGTCCAACATCATCTATAGCGAAACACATTATAGGTTGATTTCAATAATGCCTTCAGACCCATACACAAAACAAGGTTGCGTCACGTAATTAAATTTGTTGAAGCCTTGGCCATAAGAAAGCCAAAACCTGTCTTATATATCTAAAAATTATTTGTTATTACTTTGAACCTGGCTTGGTAAAACAGTTTACTGCCAAGGTTCAATTTACTTAATGATATTTTCATTTTCTTCCTTCTCTTTTTCTTACCCCACACCCTTACGTCATATTCCTACTCCTAATTTGTAACCTTGACCTGTATTGTAATGATTCATGTGATCTTGCCTTCTATATACATGTGTGTGTCAAGTACGTGTGTAGTCAGAATGTCTGAAACGTTTTGCACGTTTCAGATAAACTACGCCCTCTTATTGTTTTGTCGAAATTCATAAAGGGAACTGACTACTTGAAATTACCCTAGTTCTTTAATGTGAAATTATAAGCTACTCTCAAAATATTAGTAGTAAAATCTAACCGGACAGTTTGTTGCTGTCGTATTTGGATTGTATTATTAGAAGACGAAGATAACCTGAATGAAGAGTTTTTTTTTGGCGATACGTTTCAAACAGTTCATTCACATATTTGCCTGTCGAATCAATTCATTTGAAAAATAAAAGGCCAATTAAAATAAACAAACTGAAAAGGAATTTAATAAGAATAGATAAGACTACTCTTGGTAATGTAATCAGATGAGGATTGTGTAGGTTAGGTTAAGAGTAATACTAAGTTGTCTTTGTACTCACAGATGGATGGGGCTTAAATTTACGATTTGACAACTATTACTGTATTTACTTTACTTTGGAATTCATATCCTTTAGTTAATGGTAATTCATTCAACGTTTCACAATGATTCTATTTCGATAATCATTCTGCATTAAGTGAATATAGGGGCTGTTTTTTACATTTTTTTTTCTTTCTATTTCCTGTTATCATGTAAAACATCTAAGTAATCTTTTTGTTTTTCTTTCTTTATTTGTCTAGAGATACACCAAATTCTTTAGGCATTGATAAAGTTGCCAGTAGATTTAAACAATATAATCTAAGTGGTTTACTTGTTATCGGTGGTTTCGAGGCATATGAATGCATGATACAGTTAGCTGAAGGACGTGATAAACATCCAGAACTGTGTATACCTATAGCTATGGTACCAGCTACAATATCTAACAATGTACCGGGCACTGATTTCTCTTTAGGCTGTGATACAGCCTTGAATGAAATATGTTCAGTAAGTAGTTATAAATTTAGGTTTATGGTTTTACCATATTTGTTTCTTATTCGTATTACTAAATCAAAGATTATTCTACTCTTTGGTTTTATTATAACTGGTTAATTTTTAAGTATGAAATTAAAACAATAGTTGTGACAGCCTGTGAACCAACAGTTCACATGGTATTAAGCTTTCTAATTCAATAGGACCTGAATTTCAAACGAAAAGATACCAAACACTGGGTAGCTAGTGTCATAATACTCAACATAGGATTAAATATCACGTATGTTTCATGTGCCAATACAATGCAGTCAATAACGATTGAAATAATATTTAAGACTAAACTATAGTCCGACTGTATGTATAACTTAGGTGGTGAAGGTTGTTGACGAGTGAAAGAATTATCGTTTATATTACGAATTGACTTAAATTATTCATTCTGGCGACAAATTTGAATAAAGAAGGAGAATAAAGTGAATTATATGGTAGTGAGACAATCTGAGTTAATCTTGGTTTGGAAGACTGACGTAGTTTGTTACTGATAATTGGAAGGGAGAGAGAAGTGTGAGTTACGACAGGATTTGAATCAGGGGTACTAGCTGAGATATGAGACCCAGTTACGTGAATTTATTTCACTTAAGCGTTTTTTGTCGCCTAAACTAAATTTTATTGACAGGATCATGTCATTGAAAATGAGAAGTAATCACACACAACCAGAGCAAACCGATACAAACTGTAAGAACACTGTCAGCGGCAAATGGATTACCTGAAGAATGATTTACCGAATACTTTAAAAAGATATATTTATAAGTGGTTGGAGGCAGGAAACAAATAAAATTGAATATAATGTAACTAATTCAGGCACTGAATGGGGCCAGGTTATGAAAAGCACACAAGTGATATGCTAAATGAAAGGAGAAAGTCAAGATATAGAAACAGATTTCTTTTAAATTTACTTAATGAAGTGAATTCGTTGGATTCTTCATACATAAGAACTAGACTCATGACACTGGTTACTTTCTAGTGACCGACCAATGTAATTACGGAATTCAAGATCAGTTAATTTGTGGAGGCTAGCAACAACTTATTACATAATCAATAATTTGTAAAATAAGAAGGACAGATTAATGGATTATGCAAGGAAATCAAGATACAAATAGGTAATAGTAATAAACGATGTCAAAGGATACGAGAAAATCGTTTACAACGCAAATAAGGGATGATTCATTTGGAATCGGATTGCATTTGCTGTACACAAAAGTAGTACTCACAGAGCATAGGAAAGACTGAATGAAATACATTTTGTTACCCACTTTTGGATGATCGTATTTGAATAATTCAGTACCGTATAATGCAGAAAACTGGTAGATATTGAATGACATAGTAGATAATTTTATACTAAAAGTTTATTGATTTAGATAGTCGTAATTTATTGAGGTAAATACTTGGATGTAATTTAAAGAATGACAATATACGAAGTTATAAATATTCAAAGTTGCATTTGAAAGAACTTAATAGGTATATTTGCATATGAAATCATTAAGAAGGATATGCTACTATTAGTACTACTATTGCCTAACAGTGGTATTCATGATTATTAAGACTGCAACATGATTAAAGAATTCTCGCATGCGTTAGTTATTAGATATAACTTCCTTTGAACAGACTACTTATGTACCAAGGTTTGAGCTGCACAATTATTTTCTGAGGGTTGCTGTTTCTACCTATTTGTCCGGGTGTGAAATAGGTAGATTGATATTTGAACCCCACTATCAATTGTCTGAAAGTTGAGTGCTTAAGCCAATGAGTCACATTTCCACCGTGGTCGAAAGTAATGTATAGATCAACAGCATGTAACATATCACCTTATATATCAATAATAGTAAGAAGAAGAAAAATTGTTTTAGTATTACTGTTTAACTCTGTTTTATTTAAACTGAATCTCAGTTGGATTATTCGAAGATAAAATATTATTGACGTAATGCAGCATTGATTACAATATCTATACGCTTTAAGATTCACTAGCTAAACGTGTTAAAGCATGATAGGACATTTTAACGTTGGCAAATAATAGAAGTTTTTTCTAAATACCTACAACTTTGTATTAATCATATGATTTTAGCTTATGCTTTTGTTTTTATAGAATTGTGTAATTTGCAAATGATCAGTTTGCATAATTAGACATCTGGAATTCCAGTATTTTAAACTGCTTCGGCTGTCTAAGCTGAGTACAATGTCGCACATCCCTGATGAACTCGGCTCTGAACAAACAAATTAGCCGTCCAGTGTTTAGATCACTTCACAATCTGGTTAACAAGCACTACTGTTTAACGTGACTGGTTTTCAAATGTTCATATGAGTCAGAGTAGTATACACTATTTCGATATACCATAATTATGTTTAGACTGACTAAGGTTTTGCTTTATTTTCATAACTATTCAAAGAGTGAGTTTTTATTTATTTTTTCTTTACTATAGATTTTAGATAAAATTAAACAAAGCGCTTTAGGTACAAAACGTCGTGTATTTGTTGTCGAGACAATGGGTGGTTATTGTGGTTATTTAGCTACAATGAGCGCCTTAGCTGGTGGCGCTGATGCTGCTTATATCTATGAAGAACCATTTACAATTGATGATTTACGCGAAGATGTTGTACATTTACGTGCTAAAATAGCCGATAATGTTCAACGTGGGTTAGTCCTAAGAGCTGAATATGCTAATAAAAATTATACAAGTGAATTTATTCATCAATTATATGCAGAAGAAGGCAAAGGTATATTTGACTGTCGGTAAGTATACACATCCAAAATTATACTTATGCATCTTGTCCAAATAACAACTCCCTACTTTTCTCACATCGAACAAAGACGTTGCTATTGATGTATTTATTCCATATTTCAATTAGATGAACTGAATAACTTTAGGACTTCGTCAACAGTACTATTTTCAATGACATCTTGTTCAGTCTCTACACCTCTAATATTAGACCGTGATGGTAACCTTTAGCCAGGGATGTGTTACCAGTTATACAGACAATAATAATATGATATCATTCTATTTCACAGGTTCTCATCAGCTGCAATTACAATGGTTATAAATAATAACATTTCATACTTCATTGTTTGAAAGGAAACAGAGAAAACATTATAAGGTGAACGCATCTGGAATATAAGTGTTATAATTTAAAGTCTAAGTTTAATCGTAGTAGATTGGCGAATCTACTAGGATTTGCTGCAGCAATTGCAATCAAACGTCATAGACCAAACTTATGTATAGAGAAAGAGAGTGTAGTCAATCTCTCACTACCTTGGTAACCATATCACTTTCATTACACTGATTAGTCATACACACTAGTGGGCTCAACTCACTAAGCAAGTTTTCAAATTGATGAACTTTGACCTTCTTGAGTTACCACGTTGAGACTGTTTATAAGATTTTTCTGTTTTCTCTCTTCTCTCACCCCGCACCTGTTTTTCTTTTTTCATAGTTTGATAATATATAAATTGATGGTAACTTAAACTATAAATTATAACACTTATATTCCAGGATAATACGAGCTCGTTTTATTTCGTGGATACTCATCAACTGCATACATCCTAAACAAAATCAAATTATAAGTTTCAAAAAAGATTTGGAACATACTTTTTCATAATTACTTGGAGTTATAAATAGAAGGTATAAGAAACATAATTCCGGAATTTGATGTAGGTAGACAGATTATTCAGTGTCAAAAAAAAAACTAATTATATATAGTGGAATTAGATAAGAGGGTTTAGAGTTCAAATTACTATTGCGAAACGCAGATTGGTTCGAGGCATATTATAGGGTCAAGGTCAGAGAACAGAGTGAATTTACACATGTGGTGGAGAGTTTAAGAGGGTGGGGGTGAATAGTGAAGTAAGTAACAAAAAACAAAAATAAATAGATAAAATAGGATTAGGGTTACCAGGGTAGTGAAAGATTAGTCACACTATCTTTCTGTGTACAGAGGTCTGGTCGAAGTCTCTTGATAGCGATGGCTTCTGCGAAACGAAGTAGCCATGGGTTTCTTTGCGTATTGATTATTTTGAAGGCATGGCTGATTTCTACTGTGTGTCCTGTGTCAATTAAATGTCTGGCGATTGCACTCGATAACACTTTTCTTCCTTTTGTATGGAGGCTCTTAGGAATGTGCTCAGAAAATCTAGTAGATGCTCTCCTCTCAGTCCTTCCTATGTACTTGCTTCCGCAGGTGCACGTGAATTGGTAAATGCAGTTGGAGTTGACGGGAGTAGGGTACTCATCTACTTTTGACTGGGTTAATGAGCACACAGTGTTGTGAAATAGGATCAGTCTGGCAGCTGGATTCTGAGCACATTCCTAAGAGCCTCCATACAAAAGGAAGAAAAGTGTTATCGAGTGCAATCGCCAGACATTTAATTGACACAGGACACACAGTAGAAATCAGCCATGCCTTCAAAATAATCAATACGCAAAGAAACCCATGGCTACTTCGTTTCGCAGAAGCCATCGCTATCAAGAGACTTCGACCAGACCTCTGTACACAGAAAGATAGTGTGACTAATCTTTCACTACCCTGGTAACCCTAATCCTATTTTATCTATTTATTTTTGTTTTTTGTTACTTACTTCACTATTCACCCCCACCCTCTTAAACTCTCCACCACATGTGTAAATTCACTCTGTTCTCTGACCTTGACCCTATAATATGCCTCGAACCAATCTGCGTTTCGCAATAGTAATTTGAACTCTAAACCCTCTTATCTAATTCCACTATATATAATTAGTTTTTTTTTGACACTGAATAATCTGTCTACCTACATCAAATTCCGGAATTATGTTTCTTATACCTTCTATTTATAACTCCAAGTAATTATGAAAAAGTATGTTCCAAATCTTTTTTGAAACTTATAATTTGATTTTGTTTGGGATGTATGCAGTTGATGAGTATCCACGAAATAAAACGAGCTCGTATTATCCTGCGAACATGTTCGTTCTTTCTCTCTTCAAACTAATAAAGGGAACCGGTTGTATGAAACTTATATTCCAGATGCGTTCACCTTATAATGTTTTCTCTGTTACCTTTCAAACAATGAAGTATGAAATTTTATTATTTATAACAATTGTAATTGCAGGTGATGAGAACCTGTGAAATAGAATGATATCATTTTTACTGCAAATCTGGTCTTTCTTTCTCCATTGAAATTTATCAAGGTAACCAAATGTATGAAATAATAATATGTTTCGCAATGGAGTAGTCAGGTCATCCATTTTCACCACTAATGGGTTCAGGGGACTCGATTCGCTTCTGATCCCACTTAGAGATTTTATCTGAGGTCCCTCCCTAAGGTACATTTTAACTGTCAGATACAGTAGGATTCGATATCACTGTTTGCATGCTCTAAAGGGCCTGGATGGCTATTTAGACCTGACATTTTCAATCATCTTGATCTTAGATTCATAAATTGTCTTTTTAACCTCAGCGTCCAATAATATTGATAACAAACACAATATGATAATGTCAATATTTTGCTTGATTATTAAATTAGATCAAGACCTACAAATCATCATCAGTTAAAATTTCATATATATTAAATGCTGTGTATACTTAGAATAACAGCTGAGAAAGATCTAATTTTAAAAAAGAAAATCATAATGTTTGCTTGTATTTCTCTCTACAATTTCAACAATAGAATATTTTAATAATATTAAAGTATTGTCCAAACTCAGTTTGATGAATAACTTTTATAAAGTGCTACACTTTCTTTCTTTTAAAACTTTCACTGTCACTTTTTTTAGCCAACTTATGTTCAATTTTTCATGCCTATTATTATTATATTTTTATCAGTATAAAATTTACTATGCATACTGTGAATACTGATCTATTTTGTGAAGGATTATATTAAAGTCTAAATTAAAGTAAAATAACTAAATGTTACTGTTATGTACTCGTCGACAAATTATTGTTATGGACTGGTCGAGAAAATAATAGTCCTGACGCAAGAAGGCGGAAATCAGAAGACCACTAGGTTTGCGGTGATACTTCTATTTTCAAACACAAGGAGAATGCAAAAGTGGTATCGCACCAAAGTGGTCAGTAAGTCACAAGATTGTGAATGCAAAATATATATGAAATGTTCCAGACAAAGTGTGTGAACAAATCATTAGACAGTCTTAACATGAATGGCTAATTATAATGAAGTATCGATCCATATATACATGTAGCAGACATGTCAACAACCACCATATATGGATATATGTCACCAAGCAACGGACTGTCAACAAACACTCATATTATATATAATATAAGGGGAATATACATTGTTAAAGGAGACAGGTTCATACAAGTGAAATGGTCACAGACTAAGCGAGCAAACAGAAAGAGAGACCGACAAACACACACATAAATATATATATGTGGATACATATCAGTTACGGAATACTGTAATACGAAAATAATAAAGCAGTTGAGCAAATGTGATAAATCAGTTAAAATGAAGGTGACCTCAAAGTGATTGCAGACGATTTCATACGTTTTGTGTCACCTTAGGTTTTGATAGCCCGTCTTACGTACTCTGAATGAGTAATTCACACTACCATTAGTCAGTGACTTAATATACCGGTAAAACGCCTTATTTCCTAGTCCTGAAAAATTAGCGTTTGGGAATAGACAGTGGGTATGTAGGCTTTATACGTGTTCCAGTTGCCTGATGTAAAAGAGTTTAAGATTGTCACTTGACTTATCCGGTTATCTGTTCACATTACTCAACTTTTAGATCCATTAAAAGGAGACAGTGTTGTCAAGGTTATGATGGTGATATACTTCAAGCTTTCTTAGTCTTTGAATCTTTCTTGGTCTTGTAATTTCATTGAGTTCAATTACACCCCATGAAATACAGATAAATCACAATCGCTTGTGTTATTTAGTTGAATACTAACCACTCTTTGATGTGTATACATATATCTTAAAGTTAAAGAACTTGTATTACATCCACAAATTTCTTCACTGTGAAAGGAAATTGATAAAAGCTCTCTAAAATTATGCACCATATTTACTTTTGATATCATATGAAAAAATTGCATTAAAAATCCCCTCTTTAATGTGTATATACTACTTATTTCTCTACTGTTTTATTTTCCTAAATTTTCAGTTGTAACATATTAGGTCATATGCAGCAAGGCAATAGTCCAAGTCCATTTGATCGAAACCTTGGGACTAAATTCGCTTCGAAAGCAATTGACTGGTTAAATGATCAAATTAATGCAAATATACGTTCAGATGGTAAATTTAAATATTTTATCATAGCTTGATTCCACACAGTATTTCGGTACAAGTACGGAATTTTCAGCATGTGATATTGATAGCCCAAATTTAGCAGACCAACCAATAATATCAGGTGTGTGTCGGCCGGGGATCGAACCCGGACGCTTGCCTACCATGTACATGGCAACAGTTAAATGTCTTCAGCAGTAGATTGTTGTTGTCACAAATAATGAATATGTCGTCCACGTATTTTTTATACAGTCGCAAATTGTCCATGCTCGGCTTTAGTGGACCTCTCTCGAGGCTTCTCACGAAGCAATCTGATAGTAGTGAGCTCAACGGAGATCCCATTGCAATACCATCATTTTGTCTGTAGATGGTGTCGTTGAATGTGAACTGGACGTTCAGAGTGCATCTCAATAGTAACTCTTTCAAATATGTTGTTGGTATTCCAATATTGAGATGGTTGTCATCTGCAATTAATAGTGTTCTCCAAGATGATGCGACTCAGGATTTTACTTGGCGTCGACAGGAGCGTGATTCCTTGCCAGTTCTTGTAGAGTGAGTCCTTAGTCGCCCTTCTTTGGTAGTTTCACGAGGTAACCTTTCCTCCAGTCAGTAGGCACCTTTCCCTCCTCCCGGACCTTTTGCAATAATGGAGTTAGCATATCTGCTGTCGTCTCTGGGTCCGCTTTTAGTGCTTCAGGGGGTATTCCATCTGGTCCAGCTGCTTTTCCAGCTTTCAAAAGCTTGATTGCATCCAGGACTTCAGCTCTCGTTGGAGGATTGGTGTCAACTTGCAGTTGTGTGCGCGCTGTTGTTGGTATTTCTGGACGGGTTGCAGGTGATGGTCGGTTTAAGAGTCCTTTGAAGTGATCCGCCTATTGTTTAATCTGTTTTTCTTTCTTGGTATTTGGGTTTCCTTGGCTGTCTTTTATAGGTTTCGTTTGTGTTAATCTCTTCGCGGATAGAGATTTGGTTATCTGATATAATGTCCTCAGGTCCGTTTTGCCTGCTGTCTTTTCAGCTTCAGTGGCCAGGTTGTCGTAGAATCGTCTTTTGTCCTTCCTAGCACTCTTCTTCACTTCTATGTCCAGTGCTGTGTAAGTTGAACTCATCGTCTCCTTCTCCTGTCCGTCCTTGCATTGAATCATTTTCTCTTTCACCATTCTCCTCTCTTCTATTAATTTCCAAGTGTCTGTTGAGAGCCATTCCTTGTCTTGTCTCTTCTTTCTTCCTAGAACCGTTGAACACGTTTCGTTGAGAATCGCCTTCAGAGACTTCCAGTGTTCTTCCACGCATGATTCTTCAGTGCTGTCGCGTAGTGTTTCCTGCTTTGCTCTGACAGTTGCAGTGAAAGTGTCCTTTGTGGTTGTGTCCTTCAGTAATTGAGTGTTGAACTTGCATTGTGGCCTATCCCCAGCTATCCTCGAGGCTTTTAGTTTCACCTTGAAATTCCGTTGTACCAGATATAGGTTTGAACCCTGTGCCCAGTAGGCTCCATCTCCGCTTCCTTCCGATTGAAATGAAGTCTATTTGGTTTTTGGTGTTTCCATCTGGTGAAATCCATGTCGTTTTTTGTATATCCTTGTGTTTGAAAACGCTGCCACCAATCACCAAATCATTGAAGGCGCAGAAGTCTGAGAAGAGTTCACCATTGTCGTTCATTTCGCCGAGGGCCTCACGACCCATGGTGAGTTCTCTTCCTGTGTTGTCTCCTCCCAGCTTCGCATTCATGTCGCCCATCAGGATTTTGATATCGACATTTGGGACGTTTTTCATTATTGTTTGTAGTTGTCTGTAGAACGCCTCCTTCTTCTCTTGTTCTGAGACGTTTGTAGGCGCATAGCATTGAATGACTGTAACTTTCCTTCCTTTTGATTTGAACCTGGCTGTCGTTATCCTGGAGGAGATTGGTTCCCACTGCATGAGAGCTTTGGTTGCTGTTAGTGACATCATGAAGTCCACTCCCTGGGTGTGCTCGTGGTTGCCCTCTGGGTGGCCGGAATAGATTATTGTCTCTCCAGTTGGCAGTTGGCACCTTCCAGTTCCGTTCCATCTGATTTCGCAGATTCCCAACACTTCTATTCTGTACCTTCTCATTTCAGCGGCTATCTGGGCAGCCTTTCCAGTTTCGTGCATTGTACGAACATTCCAGGTATCCATCCTTACTTTTGCTTTCATCGAAAGAAGGCACATCGGCTGACTGGCTTCCCGAAGGCTTTCACAGGTTGCGTCATTTCACTTCCCCGATTCCAGCGAAAAATAAGGCTATTGTTTATATTTTTAGAATTTTTAATATATTTATTCGTTGAAGTTTCTGTAGCAATTTGGTTGAGTTTTGCGGGAATGGAGTTGCTAGCACCACGCCCCAACCCTCCCTCTTTACCCGGGCTTGGGTTTAGCTAGAAAACTAGTTAGCTAGTGGCCTAGCAAGCTAGTAATCTGGCGAGGTTGTTACGGCAGACTGCTACCGTTTATTTGCAACTAAGTTGATATATTCGGTGAATCCTTGACATTCGTCCGGAGTCAATTCATATAGGCCAGAGGACCTTTGATTAATATTCCGCTGCATTTCGGGCATAGGTGATCTGATAGAATCAGCACAATTCATTGCATGACGTCGAAGGGACTTCGTATTTGGATATATATGATTGCGTCGCAGTGCTTTCCAGAACCACTTTGGATACTGATGATTAGCGATGCAATCCTCGAAAAAACCAAATTTCGCTTTCCCCACAGCAAGCTTGACAGAGTACCGTAGAAACCCATTGAGTTCCTTGACTGTCGAGGGGTCCTTGCTACGTTTCATTTCATGGATAATCCCCATCCAGGCATTGATGAAAACAAAACACGTAGATCAGTGAAGAGTCTTTTTTCGACGAATTTAATATCGTCATCTTCGTCATCACATTCAATTTAAATTGTAAACCATTACAAATTCATGGTAGACACCAGGGTGAAAATATTTCCAAGAAATCTGTCGCTTAGTATATAGTATATGGAATACCTCAATGTTTGCTCTCTGACTTGTATAATTTATTGACATGTTCCGTAATAATTATTAATAATTGCTACTATTTCTTATGTCCTAACTTCTGAGCTTGACTATACATCAATTCCTAAGACTTCCCAGCTTCTTGAGGTAAAAGTAATTCCGATAGGCCATAAACTATGGGTAGTGGTGTAAGAATGATAAGACAGATTTGGCTAGAGTGGAAACTGGTCGAATATCACCACATTCGATAACCTGTTAAGTTCTGCACAGTGTTTCTAACGCTCTTTCCACAGTTCTGTTGTTCGATTGCTTTTTCCAGTGTCAGAAACATATTATTGCTTTTCTGAATTCCCTCACTGATATACTACTTATGTCTGGTTACAAGTAGCACTCACCACAGTAGGACCTCTATAACATGATTACCTTGATTCTTAGGACAATTATTTTACTAACCTGAATTCGCCCTTTCTTTATTCTTGATAACATCAAAACCCTCTGTACTGTCGTTTGTTGTACATCAAATTTTCTTTCAATGATAATGAACCACCAGTATATAAAAATTACTTCATTAGTTTTACTAAAACAAGTATAGAATGCAATGAGTTCCGAGAATTGCTTCGCCTTATTGAAGTTGGAAAGGATTCTTAGTAATAATGGATGTCCTCAAGACTTAAAATAGCTTAGGAAGTTTAAGTGGGAAATCTCGTATGTATTCAGGATCTATTCAACTATCGAATTTACAGAAATCAACATAAATATATTAGGATTGGTTGTCTTATGAAGTTCTTCTGGTTGTAGTTTCACTATTACTATGTTTTGGTTCATTTATTTTAAGTTTGCTAACTTACTGGTCGTTTTAGAGGAGCAACAACTGACTACCGCCATATATTCGTACTATGGCTTCACTCTCAGACCATTTATGTAGTGTGAGCGACTATCTGTACTTCGGCAACAGCAGCCTTAAATACAGGGAAACACATTATCTCACTTGTCGGTGGCGAACACCAATCCAAAAGTAGATATAATTAGACCACTTTATCGTGTGTTTTTCACAGGAAAAGTCGGCTGTGGATTGCCTTCCCATCTGAAATATGTATGACAGCAGCGCTCATCTTTAGGAAGCCTGAAACTTTTATCGAGTCTCCTGAAGAAACAGTAGCGAAGGTAGTGGGGAACCTAATTCTTAAGGTGTATTTTTATTCCTTTACATTAGCAATAGAAAATAGGGCTCCAACCTAGAGGCTTGAAGTTTCGGTAGCAGTGGTGTTTATTTTTACGGGATGGTGCTGCTAGTCTCTTTACCAACCTTACTACTGGCTTAGCAAGGTAAAGAAGTGCGTCAGTCGGAGATCGAACCCTGGACCACATGCATGGTCGGAAAGCATTCTACTGCTGCTTCACCGACTCTGACATCTTCTTAGCTTAGCTTCTTCAGAACCCACAGGTGCAAAGACATCGATCTCGATGAGCTTCAAAGATAACGAGGAACGAAAGCTGTTCAAAAATAGGCCAACTAGAAGTCTTCGCAGTAACTGCCAACAGTGGTAGGTGACACAGCTGATAGAAATGGCAAAAGCATCAGTAGTAGGTAACACCTTTTAACCATTTAGGTTCAGAATAGAAAAAGGGTCTAAATAATCTCTTAGTAAAGTGAGAGATATCCAAGAAGTGTGTACCTTTAAAAGCGGCTAGCATGTTGTGCAGAACATTGCAAGAAGCATGTCAACGAGCCTGCTACGGTCGCTTATCATTCAACGCCTACGTGGGTGGAAAGTAAGTGATGATATGAAACTCGTTTGTCATCCAAAAGGAAAGAAAGCAGTAGTATGCGATGTGTGAACCCAGAAGTGAAGAGGTATTGACTCGATTACTTGATGCGGTTTCCTCTTGTCAAATGAAAGATTATATTGCAGGAGTGACCTTCACTTATTCCATGTTTAGAGGTAGAAATAAAATGGTTAAATGTGGTGATCACTCCACCCATCTGAAAAACTCCATTAGACCTAATAGACCAATTGCTGAGGAAATTGATTTTTTTTATATTTTTGATTTACAGCTTGATGCTACATCGTATTTTTGGTACAAGTATGGAATTTTCAGCATGGATATCGGTAGCCCAAATTTTGCAGGCCGACCATAGATATCAGGTGTGCTTCGGCAGGGGCTCTTATCATCTTTGGCGTCGATGTGATATCTGACAGTCCACAAAATGGACTGTGTACTGCATTGCAGCTCACTTTTTCCTAAGTTATGCCTGTGAAACGAGGAATGAAAGCATGAGATAAAAATCATTCAAACGTTTTTATCCTTAGATGTGTTTATTCAATTGTTAGTCTGATAAGTAATGAACGAGGTTAAAAGTAGTGTTAACTAGGGAGGTGATAGGATCCCACATATTTTGGTATTGACTGTTTAAACTTGCATATACGGTATGTTATCATTCTCACACATTTTGGTATTGACTGCTAATTTTGTATATTATCATTCTCACACATTTTGGTAGTGACTGCTAATTTTGTATATATGGTATATTATCATTCCCACACATTTTGTTACTGACTGTCAATGTCGCACATATGGCATATTATCATTTCTCACACACTTTGTTATTGGCTATTAAGGTCAATTATTTCAAATGCTGTTAGCTGTCCATATTGTTGTAAAATGTATAAATACCATGGCTTTCTTTATCGTTGTTGCACCTCAATACACAGTCACAGTCCAGCCTTTGTCTTTTGATATTTGCGTGCTTTACTAAGTCGGAAGGTACGACGAGCAGATAGACAGATTAGTTCAGGCGCAGACAGAATAAGGTGAAAACGTCTTCATTCAGTTCACCTACAGTTATAACAGGAGGGCATTTCAGTTGATTGATGTTCTTATCGAAAACCACCATTATGACATTTAGGGGAAACAGATACTTGACTCCAATTGACGATGTCATTTATCCAGACTGCATAATCTGTCTTATGAATGTGTCTAACAGTTGTTTTCTTTATTTGAAAGATATTAGTAAATGGAAAGTTGTTGAGAATAGTGCATATATATGTCAACCAAAATATAACAATGTGAACATTTTTTACTAAGGAAAAAATGTCTAAATCTTTTCTTTATTTCCTTTTTCGTCATACAGGTACTGTTTATACTCCTGGGCATTTATGTTGTACTCTAATTGGTATAGTACGTCGACAAACAACATACTCAAATATTATGGAATTGAAAGATCATACAGATTTCAAGTAATTTTTATTCATTTATTTCTTCAAAACTGTTTTCGCTAAACGTAAATATTTCTTATTGAACGGCATTTTGCACATAATTTATAGTTAAGCTTTGGAATTGCGTAATACTTGCGTAATTGAGCAGGAGGTGGGAAAATAATAATTGAAGGTGGAATGACGTTGTGGATCGTAGTATTGTGCGAACTAATTGTTGTGCAGTTTTTACCACTGGATAAGCTTATTCAAAATAATATATACAACAACATATTATTTGGATAATATTTCAAGTACAATTTCCTGCATTTATGCAATAAACAAAGTGAAATGATATGATATGATTATGAGAAACAAAGCGTGACCGTGATATCTTTTATCTAATAATAATAATAATAATAATAATAATAATAATAGTGATTTTTGCTGGATTGTTGGAAGCAATCACCTAGAAGCCCTGGACCGAGGTTTCGGGCTTGTTGGCTCTCCTTAGCAACGGTATCTGCACTCTTGAATGGACTCATATTCCTTCTGAGGCCTGGACCTGGGTCACATGGTGCTTCACTCAGAGACGTTACTGCTTATCTATTTGGGCTCAGCATGAGGTGATTTTACACACCAGATTTCCTACCGTCAGCCTACAACTATCCATCTAACAATAATTCAGAATGTACCATGATGGTGAGCCACGTAGCATGGTAACCACATTGCAAACTTGACTGCCCTAATTCATTCTGGATCAAATGAAGGACTAGACGCATGATAGCAGTTACTTACAACCTGGTATCCAATCAAAATAATAATAATATCTCAATGCATGTCAGATCGAGTTAACTTATCTAATATGGAATCATACTGTATCACTTAGTCCAGTAATGATATCGATGATTGCATAATTCCAGGAAGAATCAACAAATACATAAAACTCTCAATATAATGAAAGCTCTTTTCATTCTGTCAGTGAGAAACCATAATTTCAAAAACTTTTATGGGTGGTTAACTGTACACACAAAGAGGAATAGTACTTCTCTCTATCAGTTGGAGTTCACTGAAGTGTTAGGACTAAAGATGATACTATTCGGTAAACTAATTCATACCTATAATTATTACTGAGCTGATACTCATTTAATGAATGAGGGAAGTTATACGTCCTCTTTTAACCTGGTCACAATTTTATTATTTTTCCTTTCATAAAACAAACTTCTCATTCGATGAAATTGTTTTTAGGAGGTTCAGATCTTTAATCTTTACAATTAATATATAAATGTCACATTTTTTTTAGAATTATTGTGCTTATTTGTGTTTGTATGCACACACAGATAAAAGAGACAGACAAGCAAAGAAAACTGTTATTCAAATGAATCTAAGATATAAAATCAGCTATACAGAGAATCTAAGCCTAAATTTTTAAAATAATAATAGCAATAATAATAACGTGAAATGATGTAATTCGAAGGCGACTTGTTGCACTCTTACAGATAAACAGGATTTTATTTCAGATAGATGTGTAAAACTTTGGCACTGTGGTAGTAAGTAATTCCATATTAGTTTGTTTATTAGATGTATCACACAGTGAAACAGTATTATTTACTGGATGACGTTTCGAACAAAATTTATTGTTCATAATCATATCACCATCGGTGGCAGAGCGGTTAGGACGCTCGCCGACCATGCACATGATCCGGGATCCGACCCCCTGCAGACGCACACCTGATACCTATGGTTCGCCTGCAAAATTTGGGCTACCGATATCACATGCTGAAAATTTCATACTTGTACCAAAACTACGGTGTGGAATTAAGCTGTAATCAAAATAAAAATCAATTGATATGATTATGAACAATAAATTTTGTTCGAAACATCATCCAGTAAATAATACTGTTTCACTGTGATACATCTAATAAACAAACTAATATGGAATTATTTCTGATAGAGTCTTAGCAATAAATAAAATTATGATAAACTACGGAAGAATTTGTTTTAAGACTGCCCATTGGTAAGGATATGCAGTTAACTTTAGCTCCATCCATACCATATCAGAAATGTTGATCATTTGCTGTGAACGCGTATACATTTGACTGCTGCTAACAAGCCAAAAGATAATGCCGAAATCCACCTATCCATTTTGATGATGTATCGACTAAATAGTGGCATTATTATTAGAGAATATCTTTAACTCGTGTAACAGATTAACCTGTTAAATGAATGACTCTAATTTCTTAAAGGTGAATTAATTATTGGAAAATGTATTAAAAATAACTACAGAGCTATTTATATGTATACGCTATCATGTATTTACTTCGGTACAGTTTCTCTTTTAGTGTATAAGAAATAATTTATTAAAATGACGATATTCAATTTTACGGTTTGCTCTATTCAAAGGTTTTCTTAAATATATATTTTAATTTCACTGTAGATTTGATCACAAACCAGCATTATGCAGAGAATTTATTGAAAACCAGGGGGCATTGGACAGGTGTTTCATCCTAGTGTGGGACTTCTCAGTAAGTGCCAGCCCCACCATCCCACCAGGGATCCATCCTAGGACCTTGAGGTTACGAGGCCTAGCTGGTTGACCACTCAGTGACATGTGAATTCTAACTGCTGTCAGTTAGTGGCACAGCGCTACCACTAACAAGTGGCATCCATGAGTATCCACTTCACCTTGACACACATGGTGGACCCCGCTGGATCTCCACCGCCTCATCCGAACTGATAGATGCTAGAAGACTTATTCCGGCGAGCTCCGAATTCAATGAGGAGCGAAAGCTGCACAAGAGGAAACTTACGAAAAGTCTCCGCAAGGACCGTGAACAGTGGTGGGTGACAAAAGCCAAAGAGATGGAGAAAGCTTCGAGGATAGGCAACACCAGGCAACTCTTTAGACTCATCAGGGAAACGGGTGGGAGAAGACAAATCATTAGTGAGACAATCTCGGAAAAAAATGGCACTATAATTAGCTCCCAGGATAGACGACTGGATCGTTGGAAAGAGCATTATGAGGAGCAGTTTAATTGGCCCACAGCCACGCTCAACCTTCCGAGCATCCAACACCTCCCTGAATGGGATATAGACACAGGTCCTCCATCCCTAACTGAGGTTACTAAAGCTGTCACCAATCTGAAACTAGGCAAAGCAGCGGGACCTGATGGAATGACTCCAGAGGTATTTAAGTACGGTGGAGACAGCTTACTGTCTGCATTAACTGAGGTACTAGGCAGCGTCTGGGAATCAGAAGAAGTCCCATCGGGTTGGTGTAAGTCACTGATTATCCCCATATACAAGAAGGGAGACAAGTCTTCCTGTGATAATCACAGAGGGATTAGCTTGACTAATATAGTATCTAAAGTCTTAGGCTCAATAATCATGCGTAGACTGAGTGGTGCTCGGGAGACACAAACACGAGAGAGCCAGGCAGGCTTTAGACCAGGAAGAGGGTGTATTGATCATATCTTCACCCTCCGACAGATTCTAGAACATAGGCATTCCTACCGGCGTCCAACAGTCATTATATTTCTTGACCTAAAGGCAGCATTCGACTCTGTCGATCGAGAAGTTCTCTGGAGATGCTTGGCTGTAAAGGGAATTCCGAGAAAATATATTGCACTGATTAAGGCACTCTACTCGTACTCATACAGCCAGGTGAGGGCTTACGGCGAGCTGTCATCTGAACTGATGACGACCAGTGGTGTCCGTCAAGGATGCCCATTATCTCCTTTTCTATTCAACTTCATCATAGATGTGTTAATGGACTTAACCCTAGGTGACTTCAGCGACTCAGGGATTGACTTGCTACCGGGAATAATCTCGTTGACTTGGAATATGCAGACGATATAGTCCTTCTAGGCGAAGACGCTGACGAAATGCAGAGTCTTCTAAACACCTTGAGCCGCAATCTACGAATGTTTGGCATGCGATTCGCTCCCGCCAAATGCAAGATGATGTTACAGGACTGGACTACATCGACGCCTAGTTTAAAAATAGGAAGTGAAGTGGTAGAGCACGTTGACCGCTTCACTTATTTGGGAAGTACCATCAGCCCCAACGGGCTGATCTCTGACGAAATCTCAGCACGAATACAGGGGCTCGTTTCGCATTTGCCAGTTTACGCCGACTCTGGCGTAGACGAGATGTTCGACTATCGACCAAAGGGCGGGTGTACTGCTCATCAGTCCGCTCCGTCCTCCTTTATGGTTGTGAGACCTGGCCACTGAGAGTGGAAGACATGAAAAGACTAGCTGTCTTTGATCATAGGTGCCTGCGCTCTATTTCCCGTGTAAAGTGGCATAATAAGGTGAGCAACATTGAGGTTAGGCGTAGAGTTCTAGGTAAACAGGGGAAATCAATCGACGAAGTCGTGAAGCTACAAAGACTGAGATGGTTAGGACATGTGTTACGTATGCCAAGCCATCGCCTCCCTCGACGAGCAATGTTAGCGGATATAGGGTCAGGCTGGAAAAAAGCTAGCGGCGGTCAAACAAAAACTTGGCACCAGTCAATGAAATCCACAACAGTTGGTCTAAGCCACGTAGGAAGGTGTAGACTTCCAGGCTGGGGTCCTCGGGACGGTAAAAATCTATGGTTGGAAACAATTGGTGACATGGCTCAAAATCGTTCTCAGTGGCGCAGATGCATCCACTCCTTGTGACTTATGATCTCCAATGAAACTGTTTTGTTTTTCTTTATTACTCCTTTGTCTCACACCTCTGCTCACTGTTTCTATTATGCTTTTCTTGTACTTTCTTCTCTTGCTTCGCGTGCTACACGGAGTGTGGCGACTTGAACTTCCGCACATTTGTGCAAAGTTCTATGTCGAAAACAGACAGACAGACAGACCGCTGGTCACGACATCTCATAACAACTTCAAGCTAAGCTTTGACATCCAGCTATTAACCGAGTCATCATTTCACCCCACCCATTACCCAATTAGTATGTAGCCTATCACTCTAACGCTATCAGAAATTGTCTCTTCACCAACATGTATACATTAAAATGAATGATAGCACAAAAATGATTTCCTACCACTTTATATATAGTTCGCTCCCATCTTATTTGATAGGGACTTCATAAATTTACTTTGGACTTTTTCACCTTGTTAAATGTACTACGCTTAAAGTTATTCAACATTTCAGTTTCATTTATGTTTGGATTGATCAGTGAAGTGTACCTACAAATCTTAGTAACCTGTATTATGTCTGACACATAGAATGCGTAGCTACTCATGTTACCTGTGTTACTGGAGAATGCCTTTTAATACCATAGCATGTAGAATGTTAGCGTCACTGCAAAAGGTAATGAATGACATAAAACTAATTTTAGGTATCTTTTCACACGTATTTGTATCACTATTGATTGCTAGTGTGCTTACTTGTGTAAGGAAGGCTTCTTCGATGTTTAATGATTATTATTATGTAATACTTGACCAAATCTACCAAAACGGACGTGTACTGGTACCCACTTAATTAGAAGCTTACCTAACTTGCACATAATGAAAGTGTAACATAAAACTAAAAAGGCTAAATTACTCAGAAATATGCTTGCAAGAGCAATATTATTTATTTAAATAATAAATAAGGTAAAGGTGAAGGTATTTTTCACAGGGAAAGTTTATTAAACTTATTTGGCTAATATGGCTGATCTAGAGACCCGGAGAGTGTGTGTGCGTGAACCGATACAAAGAAAGCGTCAAGTGGCGCCAGACCGTGATAGCACGCGGGGCTGGTTGTAACAAAACTTAAAAAACTTCAGCGTTCGGAGCCATATTAGCAATTTACTTGGCTAATAGGCCGTTTTTTGAGTTTTGGTTTGCAGGGATTTGATTGGTTTCAACATTAGTCATGAAGTGACTTCAGTTAGAGAACCACTGAAAACCATTAGGGAGTACTGGGTGACTCTTTTGTTCTAGTTTGGAACTTTTCAGCAGTATGCATCCATTAACCCATTAGGGGTTGAATGCAGGGCCTTCTAGTTACAACGTGAACCCACTGACCACTCAGCCACCACTGAAGAGTCCCAAGTAGGGAAGAAATAGTTTTCCAGTACCCACTGTTTTTCAATAGTTCTCTAACTGAAATCAGTTTGTGATCAATCTCGTAATATATAGTTATTTGAGTTCAATCTATCCTTTTAAGCTCTAGTTGTATTTTAGTGCACAAAAGTTTATTTTAATGATGACCTATTCTATAAATTAATCTTAATATTTGTTAATTTATTTCAATTTACAGACATCGTTTACCTAGAGAAGAGTGGTGGCTTAGTCTTCGTCCACTAATGCGCATTATGGCTAAACACGATAGTCTTTATGAGTCAGAAAGTATTATGGCTGGTACTGATAGAAAAGCTACAGAATAATAAATTTTTATTAGTTGATTGCTTGTTTAAGCTTACGTTTCAACCTTTCTCCCCTAATGAGATACTACTACTCTTGCAATTGTTGTTATTATTATTTCTGATGGTGCCAACAGATAATGATGATCCTATGATTATGATTATTCTTTAATTCTATTAGCCTATTATAATATCGAGTTAGATAGATCATGTGTTTTCAAAAGTAATCAGCATGGAGTGAGTACTTTAGCACCTCATTGTCTGTTTATTTGGTTTTCGACGAAGAAAATTAATTTCTCTCCGTATCTGTTTATTTGATAATCTCTCTACTTATTTTTACGATTAGTATAATTTTCCTTGCCTTTTTTAACGTGAATATCGAACGAAAGATTCAAATACAACTAAAATATAATTATTTCTTATTAGATTTTCAACATAAATGATTATGATTGATAACACAACCTATTTTATTCTTGATTATCATTCTCTAACTTGTTTTGTTAGCCTTCAACTTTACGTTGTTTCATATTATATCATCTCTACATCTTGTTGTCATGATATTTAACCATTTACTTAGTATAATGTTTATGTAGTAGACACGCCTACATGTAGATGTTTGCTTCAAATCTCTTTCCTCTTTGATATGTTATTATTATCATTATTAAACGAGCTATTCAATAGTGTTTCTGTTACTGATTTTCATTTCATCCTTACTCCCTTAAATGCTAATATTATTACCATTTATTACAGTTAAAATCATTCAGAAAATCACTTCAATAATATATTTTTATTTTCCAGTAATGGATTTATCAATATTTTTTGAAGAATTAGTGTGGCAATAGCAATAACAATAAGAGGTCTTCATTGTTATTGTTAGGTAGTTAGAGACATTCTACGGCGAAGTCGTCGCCTTAAGCTTCGCACACTCGTCAGAAAGGCGTATTTGCGATATGGATGGAATTGATAGTCACCTCTAAGAGAAATGTGCTCTCGTGCAAACTAGTGTTGCAGACAGAGATGTTATGGCTTAGCTATTCTAGTTAACGAATGACCACTTCCTATAGAACTGTGATGAATGCATTGCAAACTTGACTGGTAAGATTTAATTAGCACCAACACCAAGGATTAAACATAACAGTGTTTACATCCTAGTGACCAATTACTTCAAAACACTTCAGAAAAATTCGGGAGGGGGGGCGGGGGTGAGTTGAAAAAAACACAGCAACTACTTTGGAAATGTGAGCTAAGGCGTCAAAAAGACCCTATGTCTTTGTCACTTTAAAAAACTAATTCAACAGTGTCATTTGTATAGTATGTGTGAATCAAGGAGTCTTCCGATTCGAAATCGGAATGAAACTTCAGCAATAACTATGAACCGACCTATCGTGGATATACATCAGCAACAGCTGCTACACTTGAGAAACTTAGACTTCAATGATTATCGAAAGTAATAACAAACATAGGATAACTGGTGGCTACAAGGATGTATTCTGATTTAGCTTCACAGAAAGTGGAACTGTTCAACATAAAAACCTTTGTACACACAGAAACAAAAATCTAAAATCAAAACTCAGAAATATCTATTACAAACGTCAATGATTCAAAAGGTTCAGTCCTATTTCCACCCGCTCCTACCAGAAAGACGACCGGTGTTTCAAATCATGTTGCAATCCGGGCTTTTATTTTATTTTTGCTCACCCTATCACATAAACGTCAGTCCATCAAACAAATGAACTGATCACTGGCTATAACCTATAATGCGCTGTCAAATATCCAATATAGGCACTAAGATTTTTTTATTTCCTTCACGTTCCCAGTGGAACATAGGGCCTCAAGCTAGTGGCTTGAAGTTTCTGTATCAGTGTTTAATTTTAAAGGATGGGGTTGCTAGCCTCACGCCCAACCTTTCCTCTTTACCAGCATTATTTCTGGCTTAGCGAGGTAAAGGAGTGCTTCGTCGGCCGGGGATCGAACCCCGGACCATGTGCATGGTAGGCGAGCATCCTAACCGCTGTGCCACCGACGCACACTAGGCACTAAGATGATTGCTACAAACTGTAATTTTAATATCAGATGTAAAGATTTCAGAGCTAGGTTTTCTGCTTGTTGGCACTCATTGCCTGGGTATTACACACTATCCAACAGCTTAATGATAAAGTCAATTATCTAGGGAATATGAATTTACTTAGAGAACAACTTGTGTCAGATAGTTACCTCCACCTCATCGATCAATCTTTAAAGACATGAAATATGAACAATTAACATCTACCTTTTCATACTTTTGAAATCAGCACATCATATCTGCTCATAGCTTTTTTTAAATTCTCTTCAACATTCCAATAGTCATATAATTATAAATGAAAAAAGTGTGTGTGTACTAATTAATTAATATATTTCACATAAAAGCGGAATGAAAGCACACGATGTACATAAGTAGCATATATATTATAGATAATAATTTGAATGCAGGAATTAAAAAGTTATATGAGCCTTCTTTTTATTTGATTGGTTAATCAATGCACAGAAGAATATGCATCCATGCAAACATACAAAAACAAAGCTGGTCATTTTATTTTTCATAGCAATGGAAAAATTCTACATAAACTGTAACTTTTTGCTGCACTCTATCTTGGCACGCATTAAAACACTGAATATGTTCAATGCTCATTAATAATAATAAAAATTCCGCATTCAAAAAGGTGTAATTGAAGAGTACAATCAATCACACCAGATTGCATATGATCATTCAGTGAATAATTAAGAAATAATAATAAAGAAACAAAAAGAAAATAAAAAAGATAACTGCATATCACCACTAAAACAACAAAATCAGTGTTACTATATGAACGGTTATTATTATTGGTAGTAGTGTTATGACAATGAAAAGTGCAATTTACTGCATCTAAAACAAATCATTCACATATAATATAAATTAATAATAATGATATAGACAAATGCTCAAATATCATTCCCCATTATCAAGTATAAAGGATTTATGAATTAATTGATCCTACTTCTACACAATGACAGTAACTGTTAGTATTAGTGTCAGTAAAACATGAATTAACAAAATTCCAAGCGGGATCTTCAATGCAAACCGATTCTCTTAACTAGAACAAGATAGTAACAATGAAAAGACTATGACTGCAAGGGGAAGTTAAAATAGCCAATAAGCATGGATTTAAAACACATTATGGAGATGAAGAAAACATCCAATTTTTAGATTTAACTTCGTTCTCTTTAATAAGCAGTAGTAATAAATGAAATAATGATAAAATTAGTAAAGATATATGAAATATGGTAACTGACAAATAAAAGTTATAGAATAATAGCTGAAATTATATCATCATTATCATTGGTGCTTGATTTATGCTTTTATCGGTGTAAACATGCACGTGTGTATACGAGACTAAGCTTGTAGATAACTGTATAAAGCAATAGGTATTTATGTCAAAAGATTCATCATTATGAATGGAATTATTATTCACTATGACTAGATAAGGCGAAAAAAACCAAAATGTAGAAGAAATGAAGTCTAAGCGACTGCCTTTCCACCCTGATGAGAAAAAAGGAACAAACCCGACAAGCAGAATGATGATAACACTATGGATGATGAATAAGCTGAAAAAGAAACACAGGTAAAAACCGGTTTGAATGTTTGGTTATTTATTTAAAAATTCTTATGCAGCATTATCATTGTCACCAGCAAAATTTCGTGGAGACGCTTCCAGACCGTGATGTGCATTAGAAGAAACCATGTGTCCACTTGAGTCGTACTGTCTACTTGATTGTGCATCAATATTAACACCATGTTCATCATAAGCTTCAAGATTTTCAATATTTTCAACATGAGTTGAAGAATTGCCAACATGATGAGCATGACGTATCGCGTCATTTCCACTTATCATCTCTGATGCACTTATCACTGATTCACTCACAGATTGATCGTTAGTGGGCAGATCTGAAAATATAGAATGTTGATCCGTTGTTGCAGCTGGATTGTTCTGATCTAAATATTATGAAAGAAGGAAATAAAATAGATATATATTAGCACTGTGATTTTGAAAGTAGTATAATATTTTCAAGAAAATACTCCTATTACAGAAAAATAGAGTAATTTTCATATTTGAACTATTACCAAAATTAAAGCAGAACTTTGTCATATTTTATTTATTTTATTTTTATTTTTGATTACAGCTTGATTCCACACTGTATTTTTGGTACAAGTATGGAATTTTCAGCGTGGATATCGGTAGCCCAAATTTCGCAGGCCGACCATAGATATCAGGTGTGCGTCGGCGTGGGCTCGAACCCCGGACCATGTGCATGGTCGGCGAGAGTCTTAACCACTGTGACACCGATGCACGTATATATATATATGAAATAAAAACATCTCAAAACGGTTTTCCTTATTCCAAACAAACAAAAGTTGACTATCACAAAAGAAAAAGAAAGGTGAATTCTGTATCCATCCTGCTCCGTAAACATGCAGTCTTTATAACAGGCTGGACGTCAAAATTCATTTAAGTTGCAGGAAAATTTTCAGTTTTTACATTCATGTTAATATCCATAATTTCATCTACAGGTTGATAAAACTGAGCTACGAATCAGATGAGTTCATCTCTCACTTAACCACAAAGAATAATGTTCGTAAGCTATCCGAATCTACCTGGAGGAAATTTATGCAACCGCTTTCTTTACTTATGCCATCTTCACACGAATTTATAAACTGACAATTATCTCCCTCTTCTCATACCACTCAGAAGTTATTATTATCATTAGTTTAACTAACTTACTAATCCTAATTTTTAACACCAATGTCAAGTCACTGTTTCTATATGCTTCACAGACTTGGCGCGTCACGGGCAACTGCAGGATTTAATATACAGCTACTTCACTCAGATGACCAGCTGGAAAAGGACTAGCAACTAACCAACCAAGAACATACTTCCCAACAAATGTGCAGAAGGAAATGGAGACGGACTGGACATGCGCGCTAGGCCCTCGAATGGAACTCCATCGGAAGTGACGCGTTGGGCGTTGCTCGAAGAGTGATATGAAGGATATCATGTGAGGAGGAAGTAAAAGCTTATCGGTCATCATGGGGACACCTGAAAAAGACTGTTGAACACAGAGTGGAAAGGAGAAGTGATATTCCACTAGAAACCCTAGGGAATAATAATTAATCTGCCTACTTGACTATTTAATTGTTCTCAATTAGTTGGTGTTAGTGATGGGACCACTGATCTGTTATACTTATATTTCAACATTATTACTATTATTCCCTTGGGTTCCGAGTGGAACTCAGGGCTTCAACAACACACCTCCACTCTGTTCTATTTTCTGCCATCCTCTTCAACTGGGTGCACGATTAGCCATAATCTCTCATCTCCTTGTTACCCTCGCACTGACGACCCACTTGTCGCTTTTCATTTGGATTCCACTCAAGGATCTGGCGCGTGATGTATTTAAAAATACAAATTATTTATTATGCAATCACTTGTTTTAACTTTCCCTGATACTTCTACTTTTTACGAGTTGATCACGGTTTGATATCAGTTAGAGAACCACTGAAAACCAGGGAGTACTGGACAGCTTTTTCATCCTAGGTTGGGAATCATCGGCAGTATGCACCCACTGGTTTTCAATGGTTCTCTAACTGATATCAATCTATGACCAACTTGTAAAAACAAAACTAACCCTTACAAACCAAACTATAGATAATATTTCTACATTTTAATTCGTTATCACCCACTTAACATGTTGATATCGAATAATTATTGCTAAAACACTCAGGACTAATAGATTGATAAATTACATATTGTATCAGAAATGCTACACATATATGTATTACAGCAGAGTCAGTTATGAAGATCTGATTGAAAAGTCAGTATTTCTCAGCTCAGTTTATTGTCTTATAGACATGTTTTTCATCAACGGACGGTATACATAAATACATGTGGTTACTTAAAATGTACTTAAACACAACAACATAAATTAATCCTGTAAAATAAAAACATTTTGCCTAAGATAACAAATTCTATTGATAAAATAAAGGTGAAGGGAACTGTGAATATCCAATAAAGCTTGAAATACTCCCAGTAGGATGTATCTCAATGTCTAGACGCAGAAAATACTGCTTCTGGAATGATTATTTCATAAATTGATGACTGAGTTATAATCCTGTTGAAAATCGTTCATTCCTTTCATTCCTCTCAAACTCTCAGTAGAACATAGATAGGGCTTCAAGTTTGTGCTTTGAAATTCCAGTAGAGATGGAGTTCTTTTTTATGGGTCGAAGTTTTTAAAGTCATACCGAACCTTTCCTCTTTACCTGGTTGACCACCAGCTAGGCGAAATTTAGAAGTGCGCCAGACGGGAATCGAACCCGGGCCATGTATATGACTAGTGAGCATTCTGCCACTGAACCGCCGAAGCTCAAGACGTAAGGTGTGATAAATATCATATTTTCAGCTGGCTTTACAAGAATTCTGAAGATATTCACCTTCAATCTGAATGATGCAACCAGTTACGCCTACAATTCACTACAAAGCTACATAATACATTTGTGCGTCGGTGGCACAGCAGTTAGGACACTCACCGAACATGTACATGGTCGAGGGTTCGACCCTCAGCCGACACACACCTGATATCAATCGTCAGCCTGCTAAATTTGGGCTGCCGATATCACATGTTGAAAATTCCATACTTGTAACGAAATACTGTGTGGAAAAAAGCTATGATCAAAATTTTCTTTTTGATTAATTAAATTATAGGGAAACTAAATGAGCGTATTAACAGCTCATACCTTCAAGAACATGTTCAGTATCTGTCTCAACACTTATATCATCATGATGTATAACTTCATCTGACAGATCATCTTCTTGCTCCCAACGATGTTCAATTGGAAGGCGTGATCTACTGGATGGTGTATCGTTTTGATGTGCATCCTCATCCTCTTCTCGGTTGACAGCATATTGCTGATGTTCAGTTTGTGAAGGGGATACGTCGGATTCTAAAAAGGAAAAGATATCGTTATAATCAATGAAAGTCGTGATTTGACTTCTTCAAGTAAAATAATAAGCCACTTAAAATCATAGTAATAGTAATAATAACGAAAAAACTGGTCGACTAGATTCTGAGTTGATTTCGTTTACAATGACCATCTGACTTTCAAGTAATATTAGTTTAGTAATTAATCTCAAACTTGCTCCCTCATAGTTAGATTCGTTGATCAATGCCTCTTATTTGTTTCAAACCTACCCACTCACTTTGTTTAACTCGATGTGAGTACTTACTTGAATTTTGAAAGTTGTCTAGCTGCTTGAGACATTTCATGTTTAACACTTAAAAGTTTTCTAAGCCAACCTGCAGTCTACTCAAGTAGAAGGAAAGGACTGAGTAGTTGACTAGAACTGCTAAATATGACATGTTGTTACAATTTATGTTTGTCACAAACTTATTTAGCATGTTGTGGCGATTAGGAATGAAGTTGAAAATAAATTCAGTCACATCAGAATCAACAACCAGCATTTGAAGCGAAGGTAATCTCAAGAGGTTTTTAAAAGCATGTACTACTCGTGAATGATTCGTAATTTGTTTACTTACCTTTATGATAATCATTAGTGCCTTTCAAATTTCGGTTCTGAAATTCGTCTTCGATTTCACTTTCAGGTCTCAGAGTACCTGTAATCTTTTCATCAGTTTCATATATTTCTTGTTGAGACCCTTGTATTCCAGAAGCAATTAGTTCTGAACTTGTTGTCATCGACTCACTATCACGAATGATATCGGCTTCTTCTTGTGTGACTAATTCATTGTGTTTTTGTATTAGCATTGGATCACCACCTTGTTGACTGGTTGAACTAGCTGGTTCTACACCTGTTTGTTGCCAAAATCCTTCGTTATCTTCGTCCAATTCCGCCTGGCCTTGTCCAACAGAGGATAACTTTCCTTCATTATCGATATTTGTTTCTTCAGGTATTCTTGAGACTTGATTATCGGGAGCACTATGACTTTCTGTAATTAACTCAGATTCCCCAGGCAATGGAGAAACTACTATGCCTGGACTTCTCCTTACGTCCTTCATACCAGACGCATTAATAACTGCATTATTATCATTATAAGCATGTGACATATCTTCCATGCCGGACATCAGAGTGGTTGTAGCTGCTAAAGAAGTGGAGAAAGGATCTGAAACCAAAGGGTCTATAGGATCGGAACCTTTGCGTTCATCTATTTGACGGGTGGCCTGATAAAAACAGAATTTTAGAAAATGAAACAAATGCAAGACAGTAAAATATAAATATGAAATAGAACGTATAGTTTGTCCTTTATCCAAACTCTGAAAATTCCGTCTTAACTTCATCTGATTCTTTTCTATACTCTGATGTGCTTTTCCAATGTGTTGCACCTTGAACTAATTCATTAGTCAGTCAGTAATTACAGTATAGGTAATTATTTATAAGTGACAGTAGGAAAGGAAGTCGACTGAATTTTAGGCTGTAAGAGAATATAAACGACAAAGTTAGGTGGACGCTTAGCGCAGTAGTAATAGGAATAAGAAAGGGAAAACCAAATCTCTGTACCCAAAAGAAACATGTACATCCATCTTGTTTACCTTAGCCTACATAGGCTTGACACATCCTTTATCTATACATCTTGACGGTGAATATTTTAAACCCCTATCCAATTCTCTTCCTTGCTCCCCATGTTTCAATGAAAGACCTTTAATTCATACTCCTTAATAACTCATAACCTTAATCAATAAGCCTATTACTCTAGGTTAATGTGATACTTTTCACATTTGTTGTTGTACACTTACACTCCTCATCTTTCTTGTTATATTAAATTCACCCGTACACAATGATCACTGACTCATAGTACCAATGCATCTATAATATACCGTCATGGTTATGGTTGTCATTTATCATCCATTGAAATTACATTGAGTATATCCCATTTTACTGGTAATATTAATAATACTGCACTAGTTATAACTCACTCATTGGAATCAATATTTTTGCTGATTATAATTTAAAAACATGTCATTCATTTATGAAATCTCATGTTCTTATTTACTTTATTTTTACTTTATTTTATTTTTATTTTTGATTACAGCTTGATTCCACGCTGTATTTTCGGTACAAGTATGGAATTTTCAGCGTGGATATCGGTAGCCCAAATTTTACAGGCCGACCATAGATATCAGGTGTGCGTCGGCAGGGAATCGAACCTCGAACCATGTGCATGGTCGACGAGAGTCCTAACCACTATGCCACCATGCTTTTGCGAGTTAAGATGACAATTAGAAGTATCTATCCACTGTTCCACCTTGTATTTATAACGCGGTAGATTTTCTAATATAATTTTGTTCTGCCTTTATTGGCTATTGTATACTAACGTTAACTAATTTATGACTATGGAGTCTAACAAAGAAGTTATTAAAAACCACTATTCGTTCATATCTTCCTCTTGTGATTAACAGTGTTTAATACTGATATGACCGTCGATACAGCCTATTAGTTTAGGAGCCTCTTTGATTAGCAGATTTGAGACATTACTGTCATAATCACTATTCGCAATGACCACCATCACAACACGATACCACTGACACGCAATCGCAAGAAAGGAAAGAAGATAGACCGTTGAATAGAAAGCTTTTACTGTCTCGAATCAAACTAGCCATAATAATAATGTCATGTAATGTCGTGTAATAAATTTGAAAAGATAGAAATCAATCAGACTACATATCAATCAAATATCACTTAGCAGGCATTATTTCAATAAAATAAAATCAGTTGATATACTTAAAACCAATCATCATAGTAACACGGAATTAAGGGTATATAACTACACCATTACGGGTATGTAACAAATACAAAAAAACTTTATAATAAAAAATATCTTGGTTAATTCACCTTAGCATGTTCATCAGCGTCAAGCACATACTGAATATTGCGCATACACGATTTGATGACATCTTCGCGACCAATTAAACGGAGGGCATGATCCAACTCATTACCTTATAAAAATAAATCCAAGTAGTATATTTAGTTAATGGTGGCTAGCAGTCGAATGCAGGAAGCACATTTCGTCCTAGTCGACAGTCGTCAGGTGAGTGTTACTGCATCCCCCACGAAGAATTGAGCGGAGACTGAATATTTCGCTCCAATAATTTCACTCAATGTCATCATATCGTAACATTTTATTCAGTTGACCGACGACACTTCAATCATCTTAGTTGTAATTCGTTGAAAATTCCCATTGGAATATGCAGAAAATCAAATTCGCTGAATCACTCTTTTTGATTATCATCTTATTTTCCTAGTTTTTTTTCATTTGACCACACAAAGTCATTTATTGACATTTCTGAATATGATTAATCATCCTATCATCTATTTTACACATGTTTATTGAACCTTGTTGACCTTTGTTTATTCATCCATATGCCTAATAATCTACACCGATATTATCGCAATTCTGTATTTCCACCCACTGTCAAATTTTAACACATACAATAAAAACCACTTGCCATTGTCTATTGTAACTCATTTACATAAATACGACAATACACCTATAGACTGCGTGGTCAACCTATCAAAACAACCACTATCAAAAATGAAACAACAACTACTACAAAAAGGATTAAACTACAACACCGGAGATACTTCGAAAACTGATTTCTTCGCTGACCTTGAATCATTACTCAAATCATCAAACTTGAACGAGGAAACACAGGAAGGGATACGCCAAACAATTGTACCAATGGTCGAACAGAAAAAAACAACACACACAACTCAACTCTCAAGAACTAAAAGCCTTCAAAAAGCTGAAAGATAGGAAGGACGTCGTCATTCTACCAGCCGACAAAGGAAGAACAAAATTAGTGACGGACAGAGAAGAATACACCAAGAAAGCTGAAGAACTAACCAAAGATGAGGAGGTATATCAACAAATCCCATACAAACATTAGACAGCCACATCCAAAGGACCTTAAACAAGCTCACCAAAACTGGACAGATCACAAAACAAGACCAATGGCGATTGGTCGTCTTGGTCAGGCGAACAACTACAGGAGAATTAGAAACTCAAGTTTATAGGAAATCAACTCACACAGACCAAGTACTGAATTACAACAGCAACAATCCAATAACACACAAAAGAAATTGCATACAAAAACTATTCAAGAGGGCAAGGACTCATTGCAGCACTCCCACCTTAAGGAAAATTGAAGAAACATATCTCATGGACGTCTTCTAAAAGAATGGATACCCACGGAAGACATATACTCCCAAGTCAACCTATCAAACCAAAAGCCACCAAGGAAAGCACAAAGAAAATCGCCTTACCATATATAAAGGATATCTCAGAAATCACTACAAGACTCTTCAAACCTTTAGGAATTGACGTCGTACACAAACCAACAAAGTCGCTGCACTCAATTCTATGTCAACCAAAAGACTCAACAGCGAAAGAAGATAAAACCAACATCATCTACAAAATAAATTGTAACAAGTGCGAAAAATACTACATTGGCCAAAGTGGATGTCTCCTTCGTCTTCGTATCTACGAACATAAGCTAGCCCTCGAAAGACATGACATCGACTCCTTCATATCACTCACTATGTGCGTCGGTGGCACAGTGGTTAGGACTCTCGCCGACCATGCACATGGTCCGGGGTTCGATTCCCTGCCGACGCACACCTGATATCTATGGTTGGCCTGCGAAATTTGGGCTACCGATATCCACGCTGAAAATTCCATACTTGTACCAAAAATACAGTGTGGAATCAAGCTGTAATCAAAAATAAAAATAAAATAAATAATACATACAGACAACCACGGACATCGATTCGACTGGGACAATGTTCAAATATTAGACAGAGGAAACAACAAAACTGCTAGAGAATTTTTAGAAGCTTGGCATTCCCCAGTGAATCATCAATAAACAGACACATCGAGATAGACAAAATTTACCAACCGATAAGAAAGAAACCAGACACACAAAGGGTCAAAGTTCAAGTCAAAGAAACAATCAGTTCCAATACAAGTAACCTAGAAGGTGTGAAAACACACAAAAACAACCAATCACGTCCAAGGTCACCAGGAGAGATGATTAATAAACTCGCGGAGAAATCTAAAAGCTCACATTAAATTGAAGTATGCGCTGAAGATGTCACCTAGTATGGCGATGAAAGCTTTGCAGATTAACTATCCAGCTCAGAGAACACAACCACATCAAAATACGATTGTGTAGATGTAAAACTGACATCGTCGACAAAAAAATTTCTTCCCTGAAATCTTCGTTTTATGCCTCAATAAAAAATTATTAATTTAAATGAATACAGAAAACTGAAAACTTAAAATCAAATTTCTCTTCTAAGAATTTATTATATCCGTTTACTAAACAAAAACAAATTTCGCGGAATAATATCATTTACGAAGTTTCTTTACAATCGTTTTACAAATAACATGGTTCACAATAATAAAATAAAATGCATGACAATTACTCAGTTAAATACAAAACAAACAAAAGTACATACATACATAACTTTGCAATAGAGTTATGTGAAATAATTGTGAATCAGTCATTAATTTTGATTTCGTAACCTGATATTAATAAGTGTTTTGCAATGGACGATGATGGATGTATGATGGAACAATGGACAATACTCCAGCTGGCGACATTAAAATATTAATAGGAGACATGGACACCAAACTGGGACCAGACAACAGAGGAAGAGAACTCATCATGGGTAGAGAAGCTCTCGGAGAAATGAATGAAAGTGGAGAACTCTTCACCGACTTCTGCGCCTTCAATGAACTAGTGATTGGTGGCAGCGTATACAAACACAAAGATATCCACAAGGCTACATGGGTGTCAACAGATGGGCAAACCAAAAACCAAATCGACTTCATCTCAATACTGCTCAAGGAAGTGGAGGCGCAGCCTACTGGACACAAAAGTAAGAAGAGGAGCAGACGTTGGCTCAGACAACTATCTCGTACAAGGGACAATCCAAATCAAATTAAAAGCTTTCAGGGAAACAGGAGCTGCAGACAGACCACAAGCCAAGTTCAACACTCAAAAACTGAAGGACCAAGATACAAAGGACATCTTCATTGCAAGCATAAAGGACAAAGCCGAGACACAAATCAACACCAGCGAAAAGGTCGGCGTCGAAAAGCACTGGGACAACTTGAAAACGATGTGGAGTCAAACCTGCATGGAAGTTCTAGACAGAAAGAAAAGTCAGGACAAACAATGGCTCCCTACGGACACTTGGTAACTAATAGAAGAGAGATGGATGGTGAAACAAAAGATTATCCAGTGCACCGACGAGCAACAAAACGGGAGTTGAATGCAAGCTACAATACACTGAACAAAAGAGTGAAGAAGAGTGCCAGGGAAGACAAAAGAAAATATTATGAAACCATGGGAAGTGAAGCAGAACAAGCTGCAGGCAAAGGAGACCTCTCCACACTCTACCAAACAACTAGGCACCTATCGGGCAAAAGTTCGACACAGATTAAGCCAATAAAGGACGACAATGGGAAGTGAATCACCAAAGAGGTGGAACAAAGAAAACTATGGGCTGAACACTTCAGAAGACTTCTAAATCGACCGCCACCTACAACGCGGCCGATAATACCAACAACGGAAGCAGAACTACTAGTGGACATCAACCCCCCGACGAGAACAGAAGTCCTGAAGGCAATCAAGATGCTAAAAGCTGGAAAAGAAGCAGGACCAGACGAAATCCCAGCAGAAGCATTGAAAATGGACCCAGAGACATCAGTGGACTTGATGACACCACTACTGGAAAAGGTGTGGAAAGAGAGCAAGGTCCCTGAGGATTGGAAGAAAGGATACTTATTCAAACTACCAAAGAAAGGAGACTTAAGTCAATGCAAGAAATGGTGCAGAATTATGCTCCTGTCCATTCCAAGCAAAATACTAAGCCGCATCATCCTGGAGAGAATCAAACACACCAATCTGGATGAAAAACTTCGACCGGAACAAGCTGGATTCAGGAGGAACAAGTCATGCATCAATCAAATCGCCACACTACGGATCATCATTGAACAGAGCTTGGAATTGCAGTCACCTCTCTGTCTCAATTTCATCGACTTTGAAAAGGCTTTCGACAGCGTCGATCGAGAGGTGATTCGGAAACTACATCGCTACTACGGGTTGACGCCAACAACTATACACCTTATCCAACTGTTGTACTACAATGCTGCATACCAAGTAATCCACAACGGGAAACTCACGGAATCCTTCGAAGTGAAGACGGGAGTAAGACAAGGCTGGCTGCCTACTATCTCCAATGATTAATTTCCTGATTGTGATAGACTGGATAATGAGACAGACAGCGGGCAGCGAGGAAACAGGCATAAAATGGACCCACACAAAAAACTTGGAGGATTTGGACTTCGCCGATGATATATGTCTGATTTCTGACAAACTAGAAGATATGCAAGGGATGAAAAGCAACAAGTTGGCAGAAGAAGCATCAAAAATGATATGAATTCAGGTGAACATAGAGAAGACAGAGGTGATGGAGATTCCTGGGCAACAACAACAGACAACAATCAGCATAAATGAGAGAAATCTGAAAGAAACAACCTCCTTTACCTACCTGGGAAGCATCGTTTCAACTACAGGCGGACGGAACTGATGAGGATATCAAGGCCAGAATCGGAAAAGCAAGGCAAGCTTTCATTACTCTTATGTCTGTGTGGAGGTCAACAGCACTCACCATAAAAAATAAGATCCGGATTTTCAACTCCAATATAAAGTCAGTGCTACTTTATCGCGTCATGAAGAGCACCTCAGATAAACTAGACCTTCATCAACAACTGTCTTCGCTTAATACTCCACATCAGATTGCCAGAAAAGATCAGCAACAGGGATCTCTGGCAGTGAGCGAACCAACCAGAAACTGATTGTGCAATAAATATGCAGGAAGAAATGGAAGTGAATTGGCCATACTCTGAGGAAACCATCAAGTGACAAATGAGGGGATGATCACTGCGACATAATTATGTCGGCCAATATATGCTGATCAGGTGTGCAATGACATCATTAATCTACAGTGTTGTAATGCAGTGTTGTAATTTTTTATGGGATTTTAACCAGTCAATGGATTAAAATGTCTTACCACTGTACACATTACTGATAGACTTCAACAGTTTGTTAAAACATAGAAACTGTGACAGCGTGAATGGTTTAGTGGTGCAGTTGCTGACTGATATATTGCACAGAAAATACTTTTCTCTAAAATTGAAGATTCACTATGCTGATAAGTCTAAACAAGCACGATATATATATATATATATATATATATATATATATATAGAGAGAGAGAGAGAGAGAGGTTTAGTTTAATATTTTACTAATGATTATACATACCTGTAGCCATATCTCCATTTTCTTCACGCCAGGCTAATAGAACAGCCAGAGCTTGGTCTTGTACTGTTCTTAATTCATTCACACTGATTTGACCACCAAAACTACCAGTCACATCACCATCTTCTATAACTCCACCAGCTTGTATAACTCTTTTATTTCTTTCCATTTGCCATTTCGGTTCACTTTCATTTATCCAACTGACTAACTGATGAGCAGTACATGAACTTTTCAGATTTGATTGAGGTATAAGAACTTCAATTAGTTTAGGCCAGTCTGAACCAATTTCACTTGCTACTTGAATTAAATCAATTTGACTACGAGCAATTATATCTGATGTATAAGCTAGTAAAAGCAAAATAAACACAGAATAAAAAAAATGGCATAGATTCAAATCATAAACAGTTTCATTTTATTACGTTGGCTAAACATTAACATATTCCCTCAATAAATTGAAAGCTGCGGATTCGATTTTTTCAAGAGAATGTGGCTAGGCATTATGGAAGGATCCCAAACCATAGCGAAGCTGACTAGTGAAACTCACTTTCCGATAACTCACTAGATAAGGTCAGACGACGACGTCTGAGTGAAGTTAATATATCTCTCAAGACTAAAACCAGATAGAAGTCAATAATTCTGTATTAGTTTGTTTATTATATATATCACACAGTGAAACAGTATTATTTACTGGATGACGTTTCGAACAAAATTTATTGTTCATAATCACATCAATTGATATAATGGTGATATGATTATGAAAAATAAATTTTGTTCGAAACATCATCCAGTAAATAATACTGTTTCACTGTGTGATACATATAATGAACAAACTAATATGGAATTACTTACTACCACAGTGCCCAAGTTTTACACACATATTCAGAAGTCAATAACTTCCTAGGAACTAGATATAGCACACAAGGACACTAATAATAATAATTCACATTTTGTGAATCGCGGTTTCTATAGGATAAGGAAGACTAACAGTTTTCACTACAGTGACGCAGAACTTTATTTCCTAGGTGTCACACTTGCTGAAAGCAGTTAAGCAAACAAATTTATTGATACAAATACGAAGGGCAAATATTCTAGACTGGTCGTTAACTCAGTTCCAAACAAAACCATCTTCAAGAATCTGGAAATCAAAAGTTGATCAGGATTCAGATATGCTGACAAATCATCTTCCTAGATCATGCATTAAGAAGTTCTTTGGAAGTGAACTCTAGTTGAACTGTAGTAGCCAAAAGTCGTTCTCCGTTTACGCGAAAAATAAGCTCCCTGCTTTAGCTGCCATCACATATATCTAACACTTCACCCACTCTTTTGGAGCAGAGTACATGGACCATGGCCATAAGACGCTTCCCACACAGATACAAAAGCATATTCCAGCATGGTTTTACAAGTGAGAATAGAAAGGTGTAAGAAATTCTACTCTAAAACAGTCGTCTAACTTCTATCACTCAGCTAGCCTTGATAATGATTGTGAGGTCATATATCAAATCCATGAGAAAATAACTGGTTTTTTTCCTCTTAAACCTCTAAAGACGGCGGAGATCTTGACTACTCATGAGTTTTAAGCTAGATCATTGTGTGCAAAAGAAACTGTATAGTCCCCTTGTCCTTCGAATTGAGAAGAAAGATGAAAACTACTTATTTTTCCAGTATATATATATATATATATAAATGACGAAAGATAGAAAATAGTTATAGTAATTAAATGACTGAAACAAAGATTCATCGTCATATTAATACTGACTGTGTGTGCATGTATGTGTGTTGGGGGTCACTCACTTGAAGCCCAATAAGGTTCAGGTTTGTTTGATTCGCCATTCATGTCACCACTATTTTTTTGATCGTTTACACGTTTACCATATGGGAATACACAACTCAATGATCCCATATTTAACTCAGCTGCACTAGTAGCATTCAACTGATCTAAGAACTCAGGATGATTTTCTAATCCAATTAATGATGGATCCATACCCTGTTGACTACCAGTGTTATCTGAACTGAGTCGAACTTCCAGAGTGCATAACGGTTTCTGAGCTTGTGGTATCTCATGATAGATATACTGTGAATCACCATCACCGTCCTATAGAAAAGAACATCGAAAAAAGAAGAGAACAGCATATATTGGATTATTTTGTGCACTTCCTATAGTCAGGTAGTATAATAACTTAAACATATAAGTTTATGGTAGTTTACAGCGTATAGTTGTGGGAGACAGACAGAAAGTTTTTATAGGAAGTGTTATTATAGCAGCGACTTTCAGGTTAATTCTAAATAGAATGGGGTGATATCACAGTGAGTCAGTTGTAGCTAAATTAGTGACACTGCACACAACACTATTTTTATCTGGATTATTTAAAAGAATCAGTTGTTTAGCCAAAACCAATAATATACTAATCAAAATATATATTTTATCGTGAACTGAAATCAGCTAAAAAAAAGAAGACTGATAACCATCGAAGAACACTTTAAAACAGTTCGGATTTGATTCCCCGCCAACACACTCCTCAACAGCGCCTGATTTGCTAATGGGTAGTAAGCTCAGAAAACGTAGTAAGTTTAGGCAAAATGCTAGCAACCCCACTGAGTACAAACAGCAACACAACTTCCACTGAGAATTCAAAGCTTGAAGACTTTTTTTACTCAGAATGCAGAGTGAAAAAAGACGTGCACTATCGCAAGTCGAAAGAGAATTATAAATAAGGGCTATCAGAAGAGATATCCATGAATTGAAATTTATTTGTTACATATCAAGACTAACTAATGATATCCAGTTGGTGTTGTTAGGCTTACCAAACCAATGTAACCATAATTAATAACTACTACTTCAGAACTACATACTTGTAAATGTCTAGGCACAAAACAGTCCTAAGATCACGCTGAACAATTAATCAGTTAGTGTATGGAAAATGTTAAAATATAGGTGAAAATCTTAAAGGCGAAATTTTTTCCGCCTTGTTTTCCATTAAAATTTAATCTTTTAAAAGTGTACAACAGAGATAAATTCAAAAAGGGAAAATAACTCACTCGAATAGGTTGTCTTGGTTCACGCATAAATGCTAATTTTCCCACAAGCTCTTGTTGTACATCTTTGACTCGCACTGGAAAAGCTAGTCTATTTTCACGGAAAGCATTAAAGTGCAAACGCAGTTGTTCGCCTAATTTTGCTACAGGCAGCAGATTGCCAGCTGCTTCAAGCCATGCCGGTCTACTTTCAATCACTTCAACTTCTGGTGAAGCAGCGCATACTTCAAAGCCTTCTTGACATTCCAAAGTCTATGAATTATTAGTTATAAGAAATATATGGTACATATTATACTTTTCGTCAAACGAAAATAACTTTACTTAGTTAAATAGCCCATTCGACTAGAATATATTCAAAAATATCTTATATATTTTTATGAGGATCTTTAGAAAACCTCAAACGGTTTTGGAAAGTATTTTTATTTTCTTGGAGGATTCTATTTTAATCAATCCAGTTTCCCAAAAATAAACAAAAAAGTAATAAAATGAAAGTCTTCATTTCCGCCTAGAATTAACTGTCTGTCTAACTTGAAATCAGTCAAATCCCTGTAAACCAAAACTTGAAAATATATTAGGGTTCTACCTATGATTTCCAACTTGATTACTGGCATGACTTGAAGGTTAACCACATCGTCATGAAATCTGAAATGACAATAGTTAAAGAATCCAAGAAATCCATTCTACATTGACTAATCACTGGATGCTAACCAATGTCATGCATCTAGCTCTTAGTGTTCGTGGTGACTGAATTCTGTCAGTCGAGTTTGCGATGTAGTCAGCCACAAAACTAAAAGACTACCGTGGAACACTTAGAACTATTATTACATATTTGAAGGCAGTCAGTAAAAAGTCCTGGATCTAGGTTTCACGCTTATTCTAAAACTTGTCAGTAAGGAGTATCTGTGACCTCGAAGGAACTTAAATTCGCGTCACTCAGTGCTGCGGTCAGATACTTTAACACTAGGCTATTTCCACTTACGACTGAACTCCTGTCAGATCGTAATGGATACAGTGACTGATTCATTTTACTTCATAGAGATTATGAGAGAATTTTTTCATTCAACAGATAAAAATATTCATGCAGAATGGTAGCAAATTATCGCAAAGCAGACATTTTATGATGGAATGTCAATACTTTTCTTTCTGAAAATCTGCAATATTCACGTCACGCTTTCAGATATGTACTACATACTATACACAATAAAGCAGTCCAATTCAACCAGGTGGTTGTTAATTACTCGTGTGCAAAACAGTTGTGAACATAGCTGGCTCGATTTTCATTAATATTTTTGCCATTTGAATGAAAGATGATTTCTTTCGAAGGAAAAGGCATAATCTTGAAATGTATCCACATGTGTGTTTTGTTTTTGACAGTCTATTATATTTTGCTATGTGTATATGGATCGATATTCCATTATAACTGACAATATGCTTTTGTCTGTCCACTAACTAAATAAACATGTATGACCTTGTTATCACATGATATTACAACCAATCATGATAAGACTGTCTGTCTATTGGTTCATGTGTATTAGCCATTTTCATATATACTCTTGCTTCGTAGACTTGTTTCCCACGTTTCGTATACTACGTACCATTTCACTCACACACTAGTGTGACATTTATTTTCCTTGTCTGGAAAATACAAGTATCATCGTAAACCTGGTGGTCTTCTGATTTCCCTCTTTCCGCGTCAGGACTATTAACTTCTCGACGAGTACATAACATAATTGGCGACGGGGAAAACTACGATAACTCACTCACCAGCAGTACATAACAAATCTATCAGTTGGAAAGACGAATTAGCTTGTTATTATGATATGGTCAAATGAACACTTGGTGTGATCAAAGTGCATTCCTGTAAGAATCCTGTATTCAAGAATATCTAGTAGGTATAAAACTAAAATCTGATATCTGGATCAATCTACTCTGCTGCTGATCGACATAACTGGTGTTTAAAAATATAGTGTACTATAAGAGATCTCCAAGATGAACTTCTATTGATTGATAAACACAACTTCTAAGATGTTTCCTTCGAGTAGTTTATATCTGCCCTCATACTTCACATTTTCCATTAAATAATTCGTTCACTGTGTTTTTTTATGGCAGGTGAGGATAAACGTATTGCGAGATGTTTCAGTGTACAGTATTGCAAACACCACAATAAATATTCCACATATATAAAAAAAAGTTGATAAAATACCTTAAAAACAGGCAAATATAACATCAGACTGACTGCAGAATTTCTCTAATCACGTAATACAAAATCACTTAAAATCATCTACATGAAGAATTTCAAACCGTTATTGACTGCATCTGTTTTACCTCTTCTAATATGCTAAAACGAAAGTGTGGTAAGTTTGCTTTGTTATAAGTTATATATACTCACTCGAATACCCGTATTACTGGCAAAACTAATAACAATAAAACCATTAATTAATTAAATAAATTTTGTTTGAAAGTGTCAGACTAACCTTATCCACTTTATCATCGGTTACACAGAAGCATCGGACTAAAGCTTCATCAGTATCCAAGCGTTTGGTGAATACAACAAATTTACCCATATACGGAACTAAAGTCGCTTCCGCATACAACCGTCCAGCAAGTTCTGCAGCTTCATGTACAGCTGGACAGTCCATCAACCAAAATCTAGAAAATATTCATCCATACGGGAAAATATTTTACGTATCATATGACACGATTATTATTCGGTGAAGTGAGCATTACAAAAGAAAAATCAAAAACGGTGTTTAGCTCAGCCCTTCGAGATTTTAAGGGTTAGAGAATCTTTGCGAAACAAAAGTGAAGAAGTATTAAAATGAATCCTTGTGCTGCTGATCTACATTCGCACGTGTCTAATGTGTTCATGAAACAATGATTCATTTTGAGTTTGTTTACTTGGCTTATAGTATAGTACATACAAGTGCATATGATGGCCTAATTCATTATCCTATCCGTCTGTTGGTTGTTCCCATTATGTTGACAATGTCTAACTGTTAATGATATACGCCTGAATTTGCTTGATGGGTATATAAATAGACAAAGGACAATGTTCGAATGGGTATATTAGTGTTACTAATACTCACTGCCTATCTGAGATTGAGTTGTTTTGAGTATTGTTATGTACTGGTGGTGAGTGAGTTATCGTAGTTTTCCCCGTCGCCAATTATGTTATGTACTCGTCGAGTAGTTAATAGTACTGACGCGGAAAGAAGGAAATTAGAAAACCACCAGGTTTACGATGATACTTGTATTTTCCAGACAAGGAAAATAAATGTCACACTAGTGTGTGAGTGAAATGGTACTTTGATGTGTGTGAACAACAATAATGATAAAATGTACAATGCAAGTATATATGAAAATGGCTAATACACATGAACCAATAGACAGTCTTAACACGATTGGTTGTAATATCATGTGATAACAAGGTCATACATGTCTATTTAGTTAGTGGACAGACAAAAGCATATTGTCAGTTATAATGGAATATCGATCCATATACACATAGCGAAATATATAACAGACTGTCAAAAACAAAACACACATGTGGATACATATCAAGAATACACCATTACTAGTACATTTCTTGTTTTTGCATGATCTTGCGTACTTAGTGCGGAAATTACTATTTAATTCAACCATTAAAGAGTACAGTTCTCTTTCTTTAAGTGTGCTATTTTAAACTGATTCGGGTTGAACTGATAAGTTAGTTTTGTCACTCATTAAAATAGCAACAACCGAACACAGCGAGAGAGCTATACTTCAACTGACAGTCACGACTAGGAAGAAAATTCATTTTATTAGGCACTCGGTAATTCGTTACTAACTGAGCTATTAGTGAATTCACTGCAGATGTTCACATTCGTTATTTCATGTTAAATGGTATAACATGGTTAGTAATAATTAGGTTAGGCGCAGAGGGATAGATAAAGAAGCTAAGTCAATCGATACGGTTTTGGAGCCAGATCAACTGAAATGGCTATGAAAATCGTTAAAAATCACCTTCCGCGACGAGCAGTGTTAGCGGAGATATGATAAGTTTGGAAAAGAGTTACGGGTGATCAAACCAAAACATGGTATCGATCCATGATATGTATCCACATATATATATTTATGTGTGTGTGTGCATGTTGGTCTCTCTTTCTATTTGCTCGCTTAGTCTGTGACCATTTCACTTGTATGAACTTGTCTCCTTTAACAATGTATATTCCATTTATATTATATATAATATGAGTGTTTTTTGACAGTCCGTTGCTTAGTGACGTATATCCATATATGGTTGTTGTTTGACATGTCTGCTATATATATTTTGCTATATATATATATTTCGTTCACACATTCTGTGTGAACTACTTTACTTACTTATCATTTTGGTGTGAGACCATTTATTTTCGTCTCCTTGTGTTTGGACAATAGAAGTATCATCGCAAACCTAGTGGTCTTCTGGTTTCCGCCTTCTTGCGTCAGGACTATTAGTTTCTCGACCAGTCCATAACAATAAACTTAGCGACGAGTACATAACAATTTGTCGACGGGGAAAACTAGTACATAACAATCCATGAAGTTATTGATAATTAGTTTGGGCCACATATAGAGATGTTAACTGCCTGGTTGAGTTTTATGTGGTGCTAAGATCTAGTGACTTAACACTGTCGGTGATATGATCTAAAATTGTTCACAATGGCACAGATACATTCACTCATGGTGATCCCCTAGATCCGTTGAATCCTTCTGCTTTTCTACCTTACTGTTGTTTCGCCCATACATTTTCGCTCAATACAATTTTTTTCAATTTCCTTTTTCCGTTCTTTGTTCTACCTTTGTGTCTGCTACATAAAGTGTAGCAAGTTGAACTGTTTCACTTCTGTGCGAAATTCTATGTTGAAACTCAGACTAGCGAATTCTTTCAATATATCAATTAAACTACCGAAGTCTCTTCTATTCTGACTACATGTCTAAAAACCTAATCTTAAACACATTTATTTCTAATTGGCATTGATCAATGTTAAGACGATATACCAATGGACAGGATTAACATTCAAACCAACTATACCATGTAGTATTACCTTGCTGAAACAGTTGTAGTGAACGAGACACAATCTTTAACTTTAGACAACGGTGTAGATCCTGTAATATCCTCCCATTGTGCTGGTGCTGTACCACCAGTGATACTGCATAGCAATCTTAAACTTGGCACATTTTGCGACTTCAAATCACTCATTGTTGGATTGATCATACCCCTAACAGCAGCCTTAGGCAGCGGAATGGTTAAAGTGATTGGTTTATGAAATTTACGACGGCGTGGCTCTAATGTCACAATTGGTGAAACTGCAACACGATTACCTAGCAGACGTGTCACTAATTCTGTGGAAATTGGATGGGCCTAAAATGAATAAAAATATTTTAAAAAAACAAATGACGTAATGAATTTATGGAATTTAACGGTACACAGAAATCTCATAACACGCATGTAACATTGTGAAGAAACTATGTCTTTCCTTTTTAAAGAATAGAGACCATAGTTGGTGACATGTAGATGTATTGAAGATCCGGGAAATTTGAGCTTAAGTTGGTATCTTATATGGTGAGTTCAATGACTAACCCATTGTGGTGAGAGCTGGCTGCTAGCCAAATTGGTAGACGGTAATTTACGTCAATCTTTACGTCCCCAATATTGGTCGCGAGAAAAATAAGAACAGATACTAATTCAACAACCAACCATAGCAGACTTTGTGTAGGCAGATACAATTTGCAGATAGGTAATCTGAACTTCAATAAACGGCCACAAAGAGATGAAGGATTAACGTTAAACGAGAAACCACCAATCAGAAGACTGTGTTTGTTTGCTATAATAATGTACATGAAAATCTATAAATATCTGTTGATTTCCTAAATAAACGATCTGTTGCCTGGCCTTTGTCTTCTGTTACTACACCATCACCAGCGGAGTTAACGGAGCGAATGACGAGCACTTCGGTAAAATTTATCCCAGATTGCGAGTCATCACAATGGTGTAAAAATAGGAGCGTTCGTTATCAGAAGATACAGATGAACTTACTATTGCATTTATCCATACTGCAGTCTTCAGATCGTATTATCAAACATATGCTTCGTCAACTAATTTCAATTATTCAATAGACTGTTGTGATGCATTTAATGCTGTGTGAGGTGCTGATGGTCTACGAAGCTTAACGAAGACCAAGGATCAAAATATTCTCTTTTTCTTTTTAATTAAGAAGATAATTTAGGAAAATTCCAGTCTAATGTCACACAAACTCGAAGATCTACATGAGAAAGCCATTAGGCTGGCAGAATAAAAAGCAAAGACAAGAATTCAACTGAACATGGAGAAGACGCAGATGATAAAGATAACTAACTACCAACAACAAGCATCAATCACAATCAACGGCAGAAATCTAAAGGAGGTCAGTTACGTTCGCAAATCTGGGTGGCACCGTCTCAAATACAGACGGCATGGATGTGAATGTCAAAGGCAGGATCGGAAAAGCAAAACCGGTCCTCATTATTCTGAAATCAGAGTGGAGTTGTACTGCACTGAGAAGTGAGTGCTTCTATATTGTTTCAGAGACATGACGAACACGTCAAGAAAAGCATTTCCAACTGGCAACTACAGACTTTTATCAAAATGACCCTGAACAGCCAATCAGATGAGCCCATAGTAGAAGCGTGCACGAACTACAGAGCAAATTTCATCCAGATGTAGTATCTCTGGATAATAAGTTTACAGGAAAAAATAAAACATGCATATATGGAGGGATAATGACTTTACAGAGATATGCAACTGCCACTGATGGATATGGAGTGATTACATGCAGTTATCGTCATTTGGCTACTCTCGCAACAAAATTATTCATGTGCGGAAATTGGTTTCGACTACTGATGAGGAATCCCATGTTGAACCGGGAGACATTCTTAGAACATACAAGCGATGGTTATCCAGTATAACTAATTTGTACTGCTTACCTTGATTTCAATAAGAAGAAATCAAAATTACGCGTTTTTACTATGGGCTCCTCTGATTGGTTGTCTAGGGTCATCTCCAAGGTCATTCGCTTGGGTCGCTGTACTTTACTCTTACCAAGTTGGGTATACACTGAGGAGACCCTTGAGTGACATCATGCACAGGCGCTCGAGTGGAACTCGAATGAGAAGAAATATCGTGAGCGTGAGTTCAAATGTGACGTGAAGATCATGTGATGAAGAAATGAAAGCTTGTGGGGAATGGTGAAGCCAGTTGTCGAAGCCCTGTGTTCCACTTGGGACTAAATGGAAAAATATTAAAAATCATGAATATTTGAACAATTCAATTATAGAGTCTGCAACAAACATGTACACACGTACACATGATCTGATTTAACGTAGTAATTAGGCTCTTCTTAACAATAAGTTAAGAATTAATACGAATATTATTGAAGACATATGACAGAAGAAAAGTAAAAACATGATGTACGTGAGAATACAAGTGGGTACCTGTAAACCAACACGTATTCTTTTCTGAAGTGCACCTTCTGGAAAAACAGCTTGTACTTGTGGAACAACAGTTGAACTCAGTACACCACCATCTGAACCAACTAGTGATGATTCTTGACGTAACCTGCTAACAACTGCCAAATACTGTGGAAAATCATTGGTTAATATGCGAATAATACGCTTCTCTCGAAGTTCTTCCATTGTTTCTAAACCATCTGCTTAAATTAATATTTTTTGAAAGAAAATTACGGTTATTACACCAACAGCACGATAGCACAATGGTAAGATAAAAGAAATTTATTTCGGCTTCATATTTGTAAATACACATTGTTTCGTGGTAATGAGAACAATCAAATATTAATATATCTCATCCTATGATATGATTGTTCATCAAGAATTTATTAATTTCACTGTAAGGAAGTAAACAGAGAATATGAGTACAAGTTCCTTCCGGACAAGCAGTGAAGAAATAATAATAGATTAGCTGGATGATAGTAATTCTGATGTAGTTATGGTCTTTCGGCCGAGTAACTGAATTAAGAAGCTTCCAACGACTTTTTAGACATTTTTAATGCAGATTTCAATTTGAAGTGAACATGTTTGAACTCTCCCTGCATTGTCTCTGCTGATGACCTTGATTGTGGTTAATTATTAATTCGCATTAGTATTGGTCATCGTTTCGATTAGGGATTTGACCTTCTGTCGTGTCACTTACTCTTAATTACAGGACTGATCACTAGCTGATATCAATTAGAGAATCACTGGGAAACCCGGGAGTGCTGCACAGCTGTTTCGTCTTAGTTTGGGACTCTTCATGGGTTCAAACTGAAAATCTTCAGGTTACGAGGCGAGCTCGTAAACTATTCAGCCAGTGAGACTCGGCCCAATGATCCATGAATTCTAACTTCTGCCAATTAGTTGATAAATTTGATCAGTATTAATGTTGATTGCAGATTCGCCTATGTACTGCGATTCTAGGAATTCCCTAGCATTTCTCTTATGGATTTTTACCTCATTGAATTACGTTCTTATCAGAGCTGCAAATCCAGCTCCACCTAACAATGTTTCACCAACCAATTAGTAGCCTCTGCTATAAAGCAATAGATCTTGTATATTATCAAGTGCATGCGAACGCATGTAGTTGTTGAGTGACATTTCATTATCGAACAGTAAGATTTCATTAATAGCATATGTTTTCTAGTAATATGTGTAAACAACTCAATGTATTGTTCCTAACAATTGTGAAATACAATAAGTTAACACCGTACAGCAGTCCTCCTAAAACTCGTCACTGTGATTCATTAGTAAACCAAACGCTCGATCTGCAAATTAAATCACGTGTGATTTGAACAATTTTGATTTGCAAAGGAAACCATGTGGAAGTTTTTCCTCCTCGAACTGAAGGAATTCCGATTCGTAAATTGCGAATTTGATTCAACATACCACCAGTTCACCCAATTAACCATCTAGAATTCGAGTGGTTCAAACCGAGTACACAGCTGATGAGCTCGGCCGCGAAAGGATGATACCGATCTGAACAGCAAGTGTCATGCATGTGATCATTTTTATTACAAACAAATATCTCAGAATTACTTCCAGTTGTAATTAAATCAAATTTTGTTGGATGGAATGCGCATCCTGGATTCCACTGCTAGTCACCGTCTAGCAAACAAAACCACATTAATCCTCAAACATCGTTGAAGCATCCGTACTAAGAGCGGATATGTCAAGAAAGACCGAGCGTTTTGGTGCAACATAATCAATCAACGGGAAATACGAAATCAACATAAACAAATGTATATAACAGTGGTATGTACATGAGATAAACTGAATTGATGAAGTACATGATCCTACTATATGTCGTTGCAATGAAATAAGAAAGAACTGATTTGATGAAATGATGTCAGGGTCTTAAAGTGAGTTATTTCCAATTGAACGAGTTAAACCGTTAAGCAATTTCTAACGGTCAGTAATTCAAGGTTGGAAACTCTCTGAACAATATACTGCGTGTGTAACACTCCACATTTTTAATTAGTAATGCTAATGAAATATTATAAAATCACAGCACCAATGACAAAATTCTTGGATTTAGCTTACTCTGTCCCCTCTGGTGCGAGCAGACAAGCGTTGTCTTTACTGACACATGACCAATAACAGAACAAACTAAATTCAAACGAAAATATGACTCAACACTTTAGGTATGACTAATGAAGGTCAATAATAAATTGCAGTTTAGAGGGGGAAACATAAAAACTGGAGGAAAACTATCGATCACTCTACATTCCTTTGTTGAAAATCTTGCCCTGGTGATAGTCACTAAAGTTTCAAGCTGTTATGTATCCTTATCATATAAACTATACCAGGCTACCACAAAGTCACATGACTAAACAAGAAAAAAGAGTGCAGGTATACAGTTGGTCATACGCCTGATGTAGTATCTAAAGGTATGTGTTCATATAGAGAATTTAACAACTATACGGTAATCGACAATTTCGGCAAGTAAAGTTTTCGTCATAATCCCGTATTTCAATTGTGTAACCTATCATATATACTTTTAGCCACTTACAGTATTCATTGATTAGCAAGTACACATACATGCACACAGAGCTCTGGTTGAAATTTTTCAAACCCGTAGAACAAGAGAAAATCAAATAGGATTTTATCAGATTTAACAGCCATGACATACACTTTAGATTATGTGAGAAGTTGGAAACCAATCGAATACAGTCGACAAATTCCAACTAAACAAAGACTGAAAGTCAATTCATTCAAATGAATCTTGGGCTTGAAACCTGATTCAAACATTATTATCATAACTGTGCATTCATCAAAAAATAACTTGACTGAGATTGCTACAAACGTCAATCCTAAACAAACGCACACAGTCTACATGTGATGATTGTTTTGTTAACCTTAGTGTGACGTATTCAGAAATGAAGTCATGATACTGTTCAGTAAAAATATCTCTAATTTGCTGGAATTATTGTTTCCCCTTGATTGATCTTATTGGACAAAAATGCTTAATGTCTATTAAAATGTTGCTACGTTGTAATTCCATCTCAAACAAGCCATAGGATTAGCATTGTGTCAACAAAGACAGAGCATTACAGTCCGATAAAATCAGTCGAAGGGAAATTTAGATAAATGATTTCGAAAAAAAATAACTAATAGCCCTAAAAACAAAAATAGTTAGAGTAAACAATTATTATCAATCAATTCTTCTTCAGGCTCTACAATTATAAATCCATTAATTTAAGCATACAATAGCCAGTCAGTAAAGGCAAATTAGAATCATATCAGACAGTGTATTGTGGAATACGTGTGAGATGGGATGGAACAATAGTCAGTTAGTTTTGAATATCCATGGTCAGTGAGAACGTGAGATAAAATAAGATGAAATAATTTAATGGTGTGTATACACATATGCAAACATAGTCAACAAAAGTACAGGTTTCGAGGGTGAATGTAATCAGTGGTGTGTGAGGCAATAGGAATACTACAGAAAATAAACCAGACGTAAGTTCCGAGGGTGAAAATAACGACAATTATATTGATTGTGAAATAATAAAGACGTGGAGTAAAATTAAAAGTATTATAGGTGGACGATTATCACATAGTAATAATAATAATAATAATAATAATAATAATAATAATGGATCTAGTAAATTTAAATGAACAGGATTTTGCAAATATGCTAACAAGCTAGGAAAATATTACTTAAACTTGAGGTAATCAAAATCATAAGATAGGTTATGAGGTTGTAAAAGGTCAGAAATGAACGTTTGTCAATGAAACCAAGGAAAAGAAGAAGAAGGAAAGAAAAAATCACGATAGGAATTTAAAGTGCCAATGTCCGTGGAGGATTTATTGGCCTTATTGTATGCCAAGGTAAACATAGAGGTTGAACATACTTCTTCTGTTTACAAAGAGTCAGTCTTCTGGCATTGATTGCAACCGCTTCAGCTACTGATAGAAGACGCACTCGAGCTCCTCTAGATAGATTACCAGGAACGCAGTATGTAACTAAGAACGCCTGCTCAGGTTTTGTCGAGTGTCCAGTATCTACCAAGTGGGCTAAGACCGCATTATTTAAGCATTTGGTTACCCATTTACTCAACCACACAGGTACATGTTCACGTGCGCTCATGGACAAAACTCTCTGAGTACGGCCAATGTAACTACCTCCATATGAGCAGTTGAATTCATGTTCTCATTGACCATGGATATTCAAAACTAACTGACTATTGTTCCATCCCATCTCACACGTATTCCACAATACACTGTCTGATATGATTCTAATTTGCCTTTACTGACTGGCTATTGTGTGCTTAAATTAATGGATTTATAATTGTAGAGCCTGAAGAAGAATTTATTGAAAACAATTGATTACCCTATTTATTTTTCTCTAAATTAGTGAGTTGACAAGCAAGTTTTTAATGCTTCAGAGGACTTCTAGTGTGTACCAAATAAAACAAGGGTTAATGCAATGTTAGAATCTTTTTAAAGAAAAGTGAAGTTAAAAATTTAGCTAGCGGATAATGCACTTTGATTTATCTTGATTTATTAAAATTACATATTATTATTATATCCTTTCATTCCTAGAGGAACATAGGGCTTCAACTGCGCACCTCCATTGCCTTCTGTTTTCTGTCAAATTTTTCACCCCACTCCAAGTCTGCCCACATGCTTTCATCTCCTCCTCACATGACCTCCTTTATGTCATCCTCGCACTGACGACCAACTCGCCGCTTCCCTTTCGGGTTCCACTCGAGCAATGGCCTGTCTTATGATGTCACTTGATGGTTTCCTCAGAGTATGGCCAATTCACTTCCATTTCTTCCTGCATATTTATTGCACAATCAGTTTCTGGTTGGTTCGCTCACTGCCAGAGATCCCTGTTGCTGATCTTTTCTGGCAATCTGATGTGGAGTATTAAGCGAAGACAGTTGTTGATGAAGGTCTGTAGTTTATCTGAGGTGCTCTTCATGACGCGATAAAGTAGCACTGACTTTATATTGGAGTTGAAAATCCGGATCTTATTTTTTATGGTGAGTGCTGTTGACCTCCACACAGACATAAGAGTAATGAAAGCTTGCCTTGCTTTTCCGATTCTGGCCTTGATATCCTCATCAGTTCCGTCCGCCTGTAGTTGAAACGATGCTTCCCAGGTAGGTAAAGGAGGTTGTTTCTTTCAGATTTCTCTCATTTATGCTGATTGTTGTCTGTTGTTGTTGCCCAGGAATCTCCATCACCTCTGTCTTCTCTATGTTCACCTGAATTCATATCATTTTTGATGCTTCTTCTGCCAACTTGTTGCTTTTCATCCCTTGCATATCTTCTAGTTTGTCAGAAATCAGACATATATCATCGGCGAAGTCCAAATCCTCCAAGTTTTTTGTGTGGGTCCATTTTATGCCTGTTTCCTCGCTGCCCGCTGTCTGTCTCATTATCCAGTCTATCACAATCAGGAAATTAATCATTGGAGATAGTAGGCAGCCAGCCTTGTCTTACTCCCGTCTTCACTTCGAAGGATTCCGTGAGTTTCCCGTTGTGGATTACTTGGTATGCAGCATTGTAGTACAACAGTTGGATAAGGTGTATAGTTGTTGGCGTCAACCCGTAGTAGCGATGTAGTTTCCGAATCACCTCTCGATCGACGCTGTCGAAAGCCTTTTCAAAGTCGATGAAATTGAGACAGAGAGGTGACTGCAATTCCAAGCTCTGTTCAATGATGATCCGTAGTGTGGCGATTTGATTGATGCATGACTTGTTCCTCCTGAATCCAGCTTGTTCCGGTCGAAGTTTTTCATCCAGATTGGTGTGTTTGATTCTCTCCAGGATGATGCGGCTTAGTATTTTGCTTGGAATGGACAGGAGCATAATTCTGCACCATTTCTTGCATTGACTTAAGTCTCCTTTCTTTGGTAGTTTGAATAAGTATCCTTTCTTCCAATCCTCAGGGACCTTGCTCTCTTTCCACACCTTCTCCAGTAGTGGTGTCATCAAGTCCACTGATGTCTCTGGGTCCATTTTCAATGCTTCTGCTGGGATTTCGTCTGGTCCTGCTTCTTTTCCAGCTTTTAGCATCTTGATTGCCTTCAGGACTTCTGTTCTCGTCGGGGGTTGATGTCCACTAGTAGTTCTGCTTCCGTTGTTGGTATTATCGGCCGCGTTGTAGGTGGCGGTCGATTTAGAAGTCTTCTGAAGTGTTCAGCCCATAGTTTTCTTTGTTCCACCTCTTTGGTGATTCACTTCCCATTGTCGTCCTTTATTGGCTTAATCTGTGTCGAACTTTTGCCCGATAGGTGCCTAGTTGTTTGGTAGAGTGTGGAGAGGTCTCCTTTGCCTGCAGCTTGTTCTGCTTCACTTCCCATGGTTTCATAATATTTTCTTTTGTCTTCCCTGGCACTCTTCTTCACTCTTTTGTTCAGTGTATTGTAGCTTGCATTCAACTCCCGTTTTGTTGCTCGTCGGTGCACTGGATAATCTTTTGTTTCACCATCCATCTCTCTTCTATTAGTTACCAAGTGTCCGTAGGGAGCCATTGTTTGTCCTGACTTTTCTTTCTGTCTAGAACTTCCATGCAGGTTTGACTCCACATCGTTTTCAAGTTGTCCCAGTGCTTTTCGACGCCGACCTTTTCGCTGGTGTTGATTTGTGTCTCGGCTTTGTCCTTTATGCTTGCAATGAAGATGTCCTTTGTATCTTGGTCCTTCAGTTTTTGAGTGTTGAACTTGGCTTGTGGTCTGTCTGCAGCTCCTGTTTCCCTGAAAGCTTTTAATTTGATTTGGATTGTCCCTTGTACGAGATAGTTGTCTGAGCCAACGTCTGCTCCTCTTCTTACTTTTGTGTCCAGTAGGCTGCGCCTCCACTTCCTTGAGCAGTATTGAGATGAAGTCGATTTGGTTTTTGGTTTGCCCATCTGGTGACACCCATGTAGCCTTGTGGATATCTTTGTGTTTGTATACGCTGCCACCAATCACTAGTTCATTGAAGGCGCAGAAGTCGGTGAAGAGTTCTCCACTTTCATTCATTTCTCCGAGAGCTTCTCTACCCATGATGAGTTCTCTTCCTCTGTTGTCTGGTCCCAGTTTGGCGTCCATGTCTCCTATTAATATTTTAATGTCGCCAGCTGGAGTATTGTCCATTGTTGCCTGTAGTTGTCTGTAGAATTCTTCTTTCTTTTCGAGGTGTGCGTTGTTTTTGGGTGCATAACATTGTATAATTGACACTTTCCTTCCTTTGGAGTTGAATCTGGCGGTTATTATCCTGGACGAGATCGCCTCCCAAGCCAACTACCAAAAGGCATCAGCATATAAAGTTGTCTGACAGGGGTGACACCTCAATTGGCTTATTCGGTAATAAGCAAATATCCGTATTGCACAATGAGTACGAGAAATCTTATAAGTAAAATGAAAATGAACCGTACGGGAAAATTTGCCAGTTATTTTATTAGCTCTACAATCGTAGTTAAACATTCTCACATATGCACTATATTAATACCAATATTTCTAAAGATATTTTCACCAGTGAATATGATACGTCCTAATCAATGTGAGTGTTCAGAGACAGCTGTCCACAACTATTATCATTATCCATTTCAGACAGAACAAAAGTCCATATCGGAGTCTGCACTGAAGGACTGCTAAATAAATCATCCAGTTCAGAGAATACAACTACACCGGTGTCATCCATCTGCGATAAAAAATCTGCTCCATCGATCCGCATAGTTCCATTATGGATACGATTTTATTTTGATAAATCCCATATTGATTTTTATTTAAATATTTATTCAATTCCACATACGTATATAAATGAAAGAAAAGAGTTGTGTGAGTAACTTGATATGATTACGGGCAATAGTTTGTGCTCGAAACGTCATCAATTAATATTACTGTACAACACTGTGTGATTTATCAAATAAAATCTTATCCATAGTGGAGTTATACTCTACCACAGTGCCTAAGTTTTATACTTATATCGGTCCGTATAGTATCTGGATAGTTTTATGTGTCGACGGTTATGTGATACAGGTAAGTTTGCATCAATCGATGTCCCATATGTTTTGCCAGTGAGATATTATTCTAACCAGAAAGTGTGTATGCCATTCTAGGAAGTTCTGTTCTACGCATGAAAAACCTGAAAGTTTTTTGGGGAAGATATGAAAGTATCTATAGTTGAACACAATTAGTCTTTAAATAAGACAACTTATATTCCACTGATAAAACTATTTTATTAACTCTTAGTTTCAGCAACACCTGATTGAGCACGACAGGTGCGAGTATTAAAAAGTAGTCACTTTGAAATATTACTTTCAGTGGCTTATAACCACTAACTAATGAATCATCCTTCTGACGCACACTATTGTCCATTGTTAACGATTTTTTCAAACATGACAATTTGAATTGCCTCATAGTTTTCAAAACTTCAATGTTGATAAGGCGTGGGAAAACATCAGAGGAACTGTAACTGGAAAAACGTATTTTCTCCGATACGAATTTAAAACTAATAAAAAGTGTTGAACAAAGGTAAGCGAAATCAAGCGATTTTGTCCTATTTTCAGCATAAAAGGGATAACATTGTGGTTAACCTGGATATGTGCTGTTAAGAGTTATTCCGACCTCGTTGCATATTTGTTGTACCCTACATTTTTCATGACCCACTGACATTAAATTGCTACTAAATTTTGTGTAAAATTAATTATTGGAAGTTTGTTTCAGAGTTACCGATGAAAATTGTGCTAATCTATTTGGTCGTAGCTAGTCATATGCAAGAGATCAATGAAGAATCATACACAGAAATTAACCACTTTATATTTCGAAATTTATTTATTTTTTTGATTGCAGCTTGACTCCACAGCGTATTTTTGGTACAAGTATGGAATTTTCAGCATGTGACATTGGTAGCCTAAATTTTGCAGACTGACCATAGATATCAGGTGTGTGTCGGCAGGGAATCGAACCTCAAACGATGTGAATGGTCGGCGAGAGTCCTAACCGCTGTGCCACCGACGCACAGTGAACAGGCATAAACAACGAAATGGGTCAAGATGTCCAGGAATTCAAAGATGATAACTAATGAACGATTCCAGGCTATGCTATCATCAGCAGTCTACACCTGTTGATTTTTAACGTCTTCAGAATCCCAAATAGATAATCTGCTTTATGAACTGGTGACATGTTTCTTTTTATCTACACTTAGGGTTTTTCAAACTGTTCTTCCTTCGGCTAGCCTTTAACCTGAACTGCACTGAAATGTATCAAGGGTGCCAACTGCTCCTGCGAAGTTTAGTGGAAGAAAGGTGAAAAATCGTTACATTTCGTGTTCTATAAAAATAAAGACTTAGGTAATAACCTGCAGTTGCTACCCTGAAAACTATGTAAGACAAATCTCCTAACTTTTACTATCGCGAACCAAAAAGTGATGGTGTCACAAGTAAACTTAGAAACGATAAACTAGTTACCAACTTACCAAAACTTTGGCCCACGGCTGACTGAACAGCTTGATCGGTAGCTTCTAAAGAATGTTCACGCCATGTTTCAGCATTATCACTCCGTAGCACAACCAATTCACGCTGACGACCACGTAATGAAGCAAAATGTGGAATTTCTAAAAGAACTGGTGTGTTAAATCTGCATGGGTGAGGTCCTAATTCGATGATTCTGTAGGAGATAATATTAAAAATTGATAATGATAAATAAATGTTTGACAACAGCTGTCTACTATAAGCATTCATTCATGTTTATTTGTAGGGATTATCCTTACCAAGTGATATAAATGACAGGTCACTTAAAAAAGAGTTGCGTGTTTCTATGTTCCCACAAAGAGTGCTGATGTATGATACTAACACTTATCCATCATTAATAATTTGAAATGAATGCCAGTTGTCTTTCTTTCAGTTACACTAAGCTATTTAATAACCTGTTATCAACTAACAGTTTTCAGTAACTTCAATCGCAACAACTGACAAATAAGTATGAGACAGAAACTGATTGTTTTGTCTATCGGAAATATATGGAAAGCTTTATACACCTATTCCCTTTTATGAATTTAAATAAAGTAAAAGCAACAGTTATTGATATCTTCATGGAACGCTTGGAAGATAGACCAATTCGCTGAGAGCCTAATTAGAATAGACAGTACTTTAATTTAAATAATTTTTGTCTAATCAACTATGTACAAACAATGGTCAAAACTTTGTTTTACCGAGCTCCATTGAGAAACTAAGCGAAAAATTTCTAATTCATGGGATTTTGAGAAATAAAAGAAACCTTTGGAAATCCATTAACAAGCACGGAATATGTTTGGGTTTAAATGCAAAATATGTCTTCTTCAACTCGATTTTAAGGGTGATATAATGGTATGACCAACAATGCAACCTGGTAGTTTACGAGTATCTCGGTCAAATAAACTTCCTCACTAGCAGATGCGTGAGCCTACTGTTATAATCACTATTCGCAATGACAACCATCACAACACGATACCACTGACACGCAATCGCAAGAAAGGAAAGAAGATAGACCGTTGAATAGAAAGCTTTTACTGTCTCGAATCAAACTAGCCATAATAATAATGTCATGTAATGTCGTGTAATAAATTTGAAAAGATAGAAATCAATCAGACTACATATCAATCAAATATCACTTAGCAGGCATTATTTCAATAAAATAAAATCAGTTGATATACTTAAAACCAATCATCATAGTAACACGGAATTAAGAGTGTATAACACAATATTTCAGGAATAGTCATCGGAAGATTGAACACCTCACTGACCAGAACGTATCCTGCAGCTAAGGTGTTACTCGTTTATCGGACATGTTATTTGGTGCAATCAAAAGTACCCTTCTTATTTTAGCTCTAATTGTGCATACAAATTTACATGTATCTGTGGTAGTCAGTTACATTGAGAGAACACAAAGAAGGCAAATCTTCAATTATCTGACCATGTACTCAAAATTCAACGTTTCATGCTTCCAACAGTGCTGCTACCAGGTATCCTGTTAATACGGGTCATGAATTATCAATAGACTGTTGAGTTAATTTCTTCTCAAGTTTTCCAAAGCAGTTGCTATCGTACGCTCAAAACACGTTTTGTCTCCGAAAATAAGCAGTTATCAGTCTTTCCTTGCCTTGGTAACACAACATCTTTACTCTTCATCTTATTTGGACAGGTAATCGTTGGCTTTCACCTCTTCCCCATTCTCCATAATGCAATTTCGCTCGTCTTTTGTTTCTGAGATTTGAGTTGAACTCACCACATTATTATACAACTTATTAGTTACTTATCTGCCTGTCTTTCCCTTGTATTTATTTGAGTAACTCCTTTCACTTTGAACCCAAACATTGTTTGTTTAAAACTGAAATAATTTTTATTTACAGCTTGATTCCACACTGTATTTTTTGGTAAAAGTGTGGAGTTTTTAACATGGATATCGGTAGCCCAAATTTTCAGGCCGACCATAGATATCAGGTGTGCGTCGACAAGGGATCGAACCTCGGACCATGTGCTTGGTCGGCGAGAGTCCTAACCACTGTGCCACCTCTGTTGAAGTTATTTATGTAGTTTCTGAGTTCTGTTTATTAATTTTGGAGTCACCTGTATCATGTCACCTTTACAAGTGCATTACAAATCCTCTCTGAGAAGCGGACGAAATAAGCGATGATAACACCTTATTCCGCAAATACCGTTGTTTTACTTTCTTCAAAGGAGAAAGTGATTAGGCTTATATTCGCATAATTACCGATTAACGTGCGTTCGTATCCTTAGTTTATTACTGTAAGAAAGCAGGAGTCCTTGGACTAGTTACAAGCTAAATAGACACGTCATTATTTAATTCAATTAACAACTACGTTAATAAGACATACAGATACCATTTACCTCCCTCACTTCTTTGTAAACAGGTATTAGGCTATTTATGATTAATGCCAAACCTTCTACTATGTGAAACGAAAATCGCTTAGTTCAAACACAAAAATTCAAATTACATTACTATGTTGTAAAAATAGTCAGTTGATAAAAAGAAATGCTAATTACCGACAAGCTAATCCTTCACAATCATTCAATTGTGGTGGTCGAGCTGTCCTTTCTGGTCGTAGCATACGACAAGTAATACGTGTTGGTGCACTAGCTGCACTGGGTGGAACCAAAATCCGAAGACCTGGGTGACGGCTACCACGCATAGAGCCACCACGTGCATCAACCAGAAAGGAGACAAGAAAGCTAAAAAGTGAAATTAACAAGGAGAAAAGATTAAAGAAATCACTTTTTTATCATCGACACGCCAAAAATATTGAGTGATTTCCATATCAAACAAATAAAAAAAATGTAGTTTATTTCAATGAATCTTCAAATAATGCTTACAGACTTAGGATTATTCACAGTGGCATGCATGAGTTTATAATGCATCCTCATCTTAGCTGTCATGTTACATTTAACTCCGCGATTTCATTCAAACACATTCCATGACTTTTGATGGTATTCATTCTATCTCCTTTTTCTCCTCTGCACCATAATCGTGTGGCTTGATATGCTGATATACAACCTTTCGTGAAACACACCGGCATGCAAGAATACCAAGCAGATACTGTCTGTGTGATTCGTCCATAGATATTTTAGACTCCACTAGAAACCAATGAGAGTTGACCAGTTTAACAGTTTTGTTTCGAATAAAATGTTAATGTGAAATATGACCATACTTTGTAATGACAGAGTAGACTTTTTCTCTTATCACCTGCGAGAATCAGTTAAGGTTAGGAGTATGAACATAATCTTTACCGATCTAATGAATAAATATTTCTCTTTACCCCCTTTATTATTCCAGTCATTCCGTTGAAGAGGAAACAAATATTTACATACTCTTGCTTTGCTGCTATCGACTATTCGGGTCACAACAAATAGCCAGCACCTACTTCAAATAAATACTAACTAAAAGAATGAACTATATTAGAGAATAATAAAGTGCGTCGGTGCACAGTGATAGAATACTCACCAACTACTCATGTGGACGGGGGTTTGATCCCCGGCCGACGCACTCCTTTACCAATAATGCGACTGGTAAAAAGGAAAGGTTGGGTATGAGGCTAGCAGCACCATTCCCTAAAAGTAAACACCACTGCTACTGAAACTTCAAAGCTGTAGCTTGAAGCCCTATGTTCCACTGGGAACTTAAATGAATAAAATTGAATAAAGAGAATAATAATACTCTTTTACAGAATAACAAGTTTAATGAAAATGCAATACCTTACAAATCAACAACCGTATGTTAATTAGTGCTAGTGGAAACCTATTGATCAAGTGCACAGTGTAGTCACACAGCTATACGTCACAACACTTCGGCACACTGATAAATAGAATTTGAACACACAAACAATACAACACTGATAATTGGATTAGGTCAGACGACACAGCCTGTCCTGTATATAAGGCAAGTCTTTAGTTAAGCAACTTAATGTTAAAAATCATTAGCTTCCGATCTGAGTGAAACTGGTTCAAACTTCCAAAAGGGAACGAAGTACCTACCCTATGGTTACAGTTACACTCCGTTAATAACCATGAGCACGCATGAACTTTAAGTTAATTAAGTTTTACTTCTAATTGGCGTTTTCTACCATCTGGCGTGCATTGTATCATTTTCCTTTTTTACCTATGCTGATTAAAAATAAGTACTTGACAAACAATCTGTCAATCGCGACAGCTAAATGATGCTTATAAGTCACCACAACACCAATATTTCATTCCCGACCGATAGCTGCTACCTTGACGTGGTGGTCCGGCTTGCACATCGTGATGACCCAACAAGCTACACTGGAACAAATGTTGCTGAAGGTCCTAACATTCCAGGAAGGTTGTTAGGATAGCGATTACACTAAAAGCAGTTACGGGCATTGTGTAAGAATCTTTCTTACACTATGCTGGGGGTCAGTCGGCGAAATCGTACTGCTGGGGAACAGGGGTGTAACAGCAGTGAGGTGTTTTCCTATGCTATGCTGTCTCTCCACTCCGGAGGGAGGGGTTTAGAAAAGGTCGACCCCGAAAATTGTACATCCTGACTTACCCTATGGTGGTCCGTAACCGGCAGTAAGTCTACTAATACGGAACCAATCCCAGACACAAGTTCACACAGGCCGTGTTTGACCGGCCTCAAGCAGTTGTCCCGTGGACTCTGCGGTCACACAACACTTTCTGTTTCAGGTACCCAAAGAATTAATCGACTTCGACAGTCTGGGCAGCTGGAAAGTAACAACCGCCCACACACTTCCAAAAGTACACTTCCAATATTTCATTCATTAGCACAAATTCAGAGAACATGTGTTGGAAACTCTTAACTATTTAATTTAAATACGACCATGATGATGATAAATACACTTGTTAGTTGACTTAGCTAGCTTACTTGTATTTGTCACTGAAGTACACATTTTAAAAGTGCAGTGGTAAACAAACCAACCAGTTCACTAACAATTTATACTGTACAATATTGGATTAAAAATGTGATAAGAAACGTCATATTCGACAATAAACTTTAATACTTTAATACACATTTGTTCTGTCATTAACAAACGGAGTATGAAAACTTTTTATAAGTTAATAATTCAGAAAAATCTAATCGCCCGATTTTAGAGCCCGATTTATGCTTCATCTACTTCAAATTGACGACCTGCTTACCACTAAAATCTCCAGGACTTTTTATCCAGCACACCTAAATGGCTGATTGTATAAGTCATGTTGTTTAGCCATTCATGTAATATACATCAGAATAAATGTTGGAATTTTAGTTCACTCATAATGCGACCGTCAGACCCCATAAAATTCATCCGTGGCAGTTTGCTGAGTTGCACAATGCCCTGTCTAGTAAAAAGTAACAATAATCTGAGCTTGAAATTACAACAATCTCCATTTCCGTGTGAGCAACTAGAAGTGACTTGTATCCTAGCATTTCAACGAATAAGTAACAGTAAACAGTTAAGGAATTTCCTAAGGAGAAGAACCAAGTATGCCAAAAAACAAATCTTTATTTGATTGTATATACTACTGCTTGATATGAGCGGCTGTAAATTAGTCACGTCAAACAGTAATGCCTGTAGGCTAGGTCGAAATGATCTGCTGGATAGCTGCTTTGTTCTTTTGCGCCTGAGTTCACTAACGACACATTCGGATTGGCTGAGCTCAGAAATCAGAATCTATTTAGAAACACCTAATTGAACAAACTGGGCGAATGTACAGAATCAAACTATTCAGTTAAAATTTACACAGTCCAAGTTAAGAATCCACCCTGCTTTCATTCGGAAATCAAAAATTTACTTAGATTCATACATAAACAATAAACATCTGGATATATTTTGGGCGTAAACCAAATGTATGTCGTTTCATACATTTAAGTGCAGGAAATATCAATGTGCAATCAAACCAAAGTAAAATGATGATTACAAATATTTTTGTAATGTGTAAGGTTAATCAAGATAGGAGAGTTATGCAACCTATATACATATATATATATATATGTATATATATATATATATATATATAAACGGTGTATGACTTTTCTCGTATAACTAATGAAAATCTGTAAAAACACAATTAACGTAATCATATCAAAACTGTTGGTATACATATAAGATACATTTAAGTTGTGGGAACTAAGCCTTCTGTAAACGCGATTATAACTACTTTTTGTAATATTCTTATTTATTAATTGACCATCCCTGGTAAGTAAGCATTCAGTCGTTTTGTTGATAGTTACATGTAAATTACAAGTAGACTAGATTATATCTATTTTTTTCGAAGTTCACACAACCCATCTGATAAACACAGATACCACTTAGTAGTCTATGCTCCATATAAAGTGATTTATTAGCATAGCCATCATTTGTAAATTTAAGTTAACTCCATCAAAATATAAATCTATTTTACCATTAAGAGTATAACAATACCGAGGTTCACTTTATCACAAGCTGACTGACACCAGCAAATGGTATAAGAATAGAACTTGTGCACTGATGTAGAGCAGAATTCCATTGAGGGTAAAATATTTTGTTTATAAAATTATTAATATTATATAAACGAAAGTAGAAAGTTGTGTGAGTTACCTTGATATGATTATGAGCAATAAATTGTGCTCGAAATGTCATCAATAAATATTACTGCACAACACTGTGTGATTTATCAAAATAAAATCTTATCCATAATGGAGTTATACTTTACAACAGTGCCAAAGTTTTATACTTATATCAGTAAATTTCATTCAATCCTACTGAATTTGTGTAGGATATTTACATAAAGAGACTTCCATAAATAAACTTTTCTAAGGTATAATTCAATATAATTATAATTGTAACTTCACACATGCCTATTTCTCTAGTTGGTTAAGTCTCACCACTATATGTATATACTGTCTACTGAAATGTATAACATTTCTGCTACAATCTAAACATCCGGTTTCTGTGATGTTGAGAAAGAGATTTAATCGTGGAAACATTGGATTACATACACTTGAAGAAATATACGCATATATCAACTGTGGTTATATGCTTCCTTCTATCAAAATGATAAATTGTGTAAACTATACAGGTAACTATTAGCAACTAGTAAAACACTGAAATGCAAATATCGATCGCATCAATTACTTTTAACTCTTACTATTTATTGATTGGTAAAACAAAAGTAACGAGAAAGAGTAATAGTTAGAACGCCTTCGGAAAAAATCAAATAGGAATTAATTAACTACATAACCTACAAGCACTACCGATATAAACATCTAAACAAATGATATGCGAAGCAACAAGTAAGGTATACACGATCACACAGAAGTAATCAAAAGAATAAAAGCTGAATTACAACTAAAGGTACCAAGTTTGTAGTCTCGTTTTTTCACATACAATGTAGGAATGACTCTAACCCCAAACCTGATATATATGGTCGGCCTGCGAAATTTGGGCTACCGATATCACATGCTGAAAATTCCATACGTGTACCAAAAACTACGGTGTGGAATCAAACTGTAATCACAAAATAAAAAATAAGTGAAATCTAAAATGAACATTTCATTTTGTTGGGGATTCGTCACTTAGATGTATTTGCACTAACCAGGGTGATGGTGTCCCAACTGCGACTGGAACACAGTACCCATCGTCTTAAGCATCTAGTGGGTAACTCTCTGGAGTTTGAAACGATGGGTACTTTGTTCGGGTTGCAGTGGGAACAGCATTAGTGCCTTCAGTAACACG